CAGGTATGTAAGTGTATAAAGGTAACAAAATAGTGTTCCTGTAAACTACCTAGCACCAATAAGCTAAATAGAACAATAGAAAAGCACACAAATACACAGAAAGCAACAGGAATCGTAACAGTCAGAGAATCGTATTACAACTTTCTATGAATACGGCCATTCTACTGATTCATTTAACATTTAACACTATTCTTTGAAACTAGTTCCAGATTGATAGTCGAATACGCTTCGGTCACAGCAAAAACTTGCGATCTATTTATTTTCCCTTATACGAGGACAGATCAGTAGTCGGTGACAACAGTAATTGGGTTGAAACGGCTCTAACTCACATTCAGTTACAATGAGGTGCGTGTCACATACATTCTGCCGACGGTTAATTGGGTATCCTATGGGATCTGACATCTGACGTCCAGATATCTTTAGAACTGTCAGCTCAGCTTTGTCAACATGTACCGATTTGCAGCGGCAGCTGGAAGCGCTCGCTCTGCAGGTTCCCTCTTTAATTGAAATGGATAGAGGCAATTTAATCCGACATAATCTCGCGCGGATTGTAACCGTGTAGTCTTCGGTTCTCACGATTCATTTTAAGCATCAACTGGAAACAGCTGCATTATCCAGTTTCACACATTGGTAATGCGAATTTTGTTTCATGGAAAACATTTAAAATGCGGCACCGAGCTACATCTTACAACTCATCCTAATCTGTCCGTACAATACAATAATGATCGTCTATTTTGTCCCGATAGCCGTAGAAACATAAATAAAAAGAAAACATTAATATTATTTGTACAATACATCGTTCTGTGGAACATACGCCGCTTGTTTTCAAAACGACTGTTTCTACTTAAGAACACGGTACCGAGAAAGCCGTGCGGTTTGTAAATAGGCACCTTATTCTCGAATATTCGAAAGTCTAGTGCTTCAGTACGTCTACACTAATTGGCCTCCGATACAATGCTATTTGTGTATTTTAATTGAAAGTAAATATTTATACTTTTTCGTCAGGGTGAAACGCACCTACTTACAGTAGATAGTAGTTTACAACGATGCAAACGAAAAGTTTTTTTATTTCAAATTGCATAGCTAAAATTGTAAAACGTGTAAAAAAATAGCTATGTGCGACAACCACTATTCACTATGCGGTACAACAGGTGTGCACGATACATATTTTATCGTTAATTTTATTGATATGACATAACAAAGTACTAGAAACTGCTTACTGATAACAGAAGATTAAAAAGAGTTTAACAACATTGTACAAACACAACACATCGCTTTCCATGATTATCCTGTAAGCCGGAAAGAATATTGTAAGTACTATGCGATAAGATTTTCAAGAAATATGCATTTCGTACGACTACATGCCTATGACACAGTAAAATAGTAAAATCTATGCGTAGATAATACAGATAAGTGTTACGGTGCACAACGGGCTATCGCGCCTCAACTATTTTGTGTAAAGAACGTGACTATTTCCTATTTGACATTCCTAGTTCAACTGGAACCTTATCTATGAATGTCTATTTATTGGAAAACTATTATGAGCTTCACTTATAATCACGACATCATCAAAAATTCATGTTTTAAATTAAGTTGTGATAAATATTACATTATTGATAACTTTTTTCTAGTAAACATATATCATAGACTGTCATCTGACTTCGTGGCTAGTTTTGTTGGATATCATCGACATACTTTGATGCTTACATTAATAACAAATTGTATAAATAAGTCTGAACTGCGTAGTCGCAATTGAACGATTTTAAAAAGTGTACCCATTTATTAGGAACGCTGCTCGAAAAACATTCATTAAGGAATCTACACAGTTGAAACTCATCTTTACACGAATAAATTAACAGACGCGTTAATTAATAGACAAAAACAACAATGTTTTTATTTAACAAGTTATCTGATACAAAGGTACAAAGTGGGCATACATCAATATTGATTATCGCCCAGCCTCGCCACCTAGGACCCCTAATAGTAAACAGCAACCACTAATCACCACACTACCATATATGCAACACCTCGCCAGCCTGATTAGCAGCTGCTAACTTTTTCTTTCACTCCAATATATTATGCGTAGAAATTATTCCTTGAGCCGACTAATTAATTAGGTTCATGATGAACAATCTTAAATTACAATCTTTAATTAAATACATACCAGAGGCTGTTATTGATCAATACAGATAATTTTGTATTTCTTACCACACGCGTACTTTTGAAAAAACTGGTCGGCACAATACTTGGGAGGACTTCGGAGCATTTATTATAGCTAATCCTCTTAAGTCCTAAGCAGACAGGGTACACTGAATGGACCACTGGTGATTTAACGAATAAAACCAACTGAATTACGCCTGCTCAGGCTAAATATAGAGTCCGCTAGAACCCTTAAGATACTTTTTGTTATACATGTTTATCGACGTCCTTCTACTAATACTTTATCTCATTGGAGATCATGATTGGTCTCCCTCGGTGCTTGCATTCATAATTATGTAGTTATAATTAACAGGTCCTTGAAAGCATGCATATTACAATCTACGTCTTATCATAAAATGAGGACCTGAGTGTCGTCTATGAGCAAATTTTTTGAATCCTCTCAGTTTTGAATAAATATTGACTTGATTTAAATGAACGTGGGTTAGATCTCTTTACTCCACTTGTCATGTAAGCGCACGCTGCGTATAAAACAAACATTTATTTTATGAAGCTGTATAAATCACGGCAGAGCTTGTTCATACAACTTTAGAGCTATTTAATATTCCATTGATGGAGTAAACAGGGGTCAAGTGACCCATAACTCTAATCCAGAGATGGAAAACACGGCGATTTACATGTTTCTAAGAAACTGTATCTATTATAGCGCCTTTCTTTTGTAGCGAGGTGCTTACGATTCATGTAATTCAATGCATCTACTGGGAACCGCGGCTGGCGGCGAACCCTGAAACGTAGCACCGGCACTCTTGTGGCCCGTACTCAGAACTATGAGAATAACTTCTGATTTAAACCAAATTATACCCATTCTATTTGAATATTCCCACATTATTAGCGTGAGAAGCATACGCTTAATGCATTTAATTCAATAACTATTAATATTCAGTACCCTGTAGTGTCCGTGCAATATGGTGCTCCCGGCCGCGATGCGGCGCACCTTATATTAAACACAAATTATGTAAACAGTTTATTTTAGTTTCTTTTTCTGTTGCCTTAGCTCTAATTAACCGTCCCTGACTACCGTAGATGGCTCACGCGGCAAAATGATCAGATAATATGCATAACATTCTTATTTTTATATACGTTTTTACGTAGTCAGCGTACCGAAGCAGTACTAGTCTATCCGTTTCCTAAAGCTGTCTGCTCAAGGGTGGCGTTTCCATGAGCATTATACGGGCAATAAATGAATTAATTGAGTAATTGATTCCTATCTCATAGAACTCGTCACAAATAGTTGAGGTAATTAGTGGCTGCGACGATGGATGCTCCCAAACGACTTTTTTAATTCGCATCTATTAAGAACGTTTAATTACACAAAATCCCATAGTCAATCAGTGGGTACATCGGTGTTTTAGCATTAATGTATAATGCATACAGCGGGTTTGACGTCCACCTTGCTTGTGGAGTGGAATTATATTTATATTAACTCACAACTATTTATCTAGGGTGGAAAAAATCTGTTCACTGCACATATGGTGAGGCGCGGCCACAAAAAAATCAGGTAACGATACATGATAAGGCTAATGTGGGCCTTGATGGGTAAAAAATTAAACATGTGTTGAAACTGAGGAATCCGATGCCTATTTTTTGCTGAACTTTGAGCTGAACCCATCTCGTCTTAGAACATACAAGATATGTATGGTGCAATATTATCTTGTATATTGTAAGAAAAGCGGCAATAACGAGTGGAAAACAATCATTTTCCCTTATAATTACGTAACATGACAAAAGGAAGAAAACGTATGGTGTGCGCATGCGAATACATAATACGAGGTTTGGTATGACGTCTTGTCGCGACGACGACGAGTCTGTTCAAACATCGTCTGGAATTGTTCAGCCCCTTAATTATTTACAAAAGGGAACGAACAATTACAGGTGACGTAAGTACACTCTTCAGGATATCTTCGGCCAGTAGAACAAATTGTTAGGAGCCCTTTTATGGTTACATCAGTGGTGACATGAAATAATAATGTTTAATTTTAAAAGCAGACGTTCTTATTCCAGTTATAACCGACATCTATGAAAGATCTTTGGATAAAGTATAGCGTCGTAAGATACATGTATGACGCTTCCATTAAAAACTCATATCGAATCAGATTTTAGTACAGCCCTTATTAATTTCCAGAGTATAGGATGATAACGGTATAATTTCCATTTTCTACAATACCACTGGTGTACTGATTAATAATAAAATTACAAAACAATACATAACTCTTAAATAATAAACGTAGGAACATTACTAATAGCAAAAAAGACCAATAAAAAATAAATACAAATTGATAACAAAAAATAACCAAATAAACCAAAATAATCTAAGTATGTTATGACAATACATAAAGTCAGATGACAGTCGATCCAGATCAAAATCTACATTCATTAAAACGTTTCGTAATTCAAGAAAAGATTGGAATTTATAATGAAGTCCTCTACAGCTTTAATTTAAACTGAACAAATTCAATGAATTGAGAGTCACATATACGTAACGTAATATTAACCTATGCAGAAGTCGCATCATATCAACTTATTTGGCCCTTAACCCGCAGTGGATAAGTATATTACCGCTTTGCCGCCGGCGTCGCGACGGTGATTGATAAGCTTAACAATTAACATAATTATTTATAGAATGAATAAATGTTCAATTTGAACATTAAATACAAAACAGCATCGTAGATCTGCATTTAAAAGAATACCTTATTTACTTTCGAGACAGTCCTACCCTAACCAGTTTCGACGAATATTATTGAAAATAATCAACAACAATGTACTTGAAATTTTAAAAAACTTACCGTTGGATATCGGCGGGGGGCGCGATGTCCATCGGCGGTGGTGGAGGGGGCGGTGGCGGCGGTGGAGGAGGCAAGGCCTGCGCAGGCGGCGGCGGGGGCGGCGCGTCAGGGATGTCAGGCACCACCGACACAGGCACGTTCACCTCTTCTATTGGTTCCCTAACAACTTGTAATTCTTTCAAGTCCGGGAGTTCCAACTCTGGTACAGGCATGACTTGCGCCACTGGTGACGTCACAACTGATGGTGCTATCGACCCGTCAGTAGTATTTGAGAACTGCACGTCGCCCGCTATGCCCGGTAAGTGCGGAAGGTCTAGTGGCATTTCCAGCTCCGGCACCTGATAGTAACGTTTAATGTCAATGCAAATTCAAAGAATCAAAACAATTATGAAAATAAAAATAATTCCTACCACTAATTATTTACGTGTAAAACTTACCATTCCCATTCCTGGTGCGTACAGATATTCATCCGCATCGCGCTTCAAAACATCTCTGTGCACAATAGAGCTGGGCGCCGCTTCCAGTAGGCTCTTACTCTCGACCTTAGAGGTGACTGTTGGTACGTACGCTGCCGTCGGCCGAATAGTGCCCAGATAAGGACTTTCGTCGGTGTTGAATATGAGTAAGTCACCGACACTCGATAGCTTGTCGATCATACTATTCAAATTGAAATCTGGTTTAGGCCTTGAGTCTTTAGGTTCTGCCACTTTCACGTGGTAGAAATGGAGTTTCTCCTAAAACGAAATAATAATTCACTTCTTTATCAATAAATCAGGATACAATTTAAAGTTCTTTTTATATTGGAACTAAATTATAACAAACGATTCTCTCAGCAAAAAAACTAAAATGCAGATAAATGTGATAAAAAATGTTTAAAATAAGGATAATATTAAAATATAAGGAAAACAAGCGGTTTGTGACTTTAGCAAATTGGGATCCCCCTATAAAGAAGTTATAGGCAGGCCATAGATAGTAACTGCTTATTTTAAATACAAAAAGTTATCGAATCGGAACATAATTCACTACCCGATTGGTATAGTATAGACCAATCGAACATAAATATTCTAATTGGACTCGTACAAATTACGGACTAGCACAAAGTCACAACCATGAATAGATATACTAGTAAGTAAAATCTACAAAAAGAAAGCAAAAAGGATAAACAGATTTTCATTCGCAAGTTACTCAACCTCCTCGGAAAAATAATATTATTGACTCACCTGTAATTCCTTTTCATTATACTGCCCCTGAGTTTTTCCACTCAGAGTAACCTTTTTCGACTTGTGCTGGTATCCATCCGCGTCAAAAGCTGATTGATAATGTTCGTGAGTTATTGCGGCCGGGTACTTGGCACTGGAAAAAACTTTGATTGCTTTCTGCATGCCGGTCAACTTCTCTACTTTCGACCTCGACATCTCTACTCTCTCGTGGAGTTTCATTGTCTTATCCATGTTCTGTTTGATTCGTGTCGTCAGCCTTGCAAATACATCGTCTACGATACCGTTGAGATTATCCAAAGTGTCTGCAATCTGCAGTATCGTCTCCTCAACGCTCAGATCACTTGGGACTAAATTAATTTTATATATACCCTCCATATTTAAACCTCTCTACGCGCGAATTTTAATTTCTGTAACAAACATCACGCTTTGTAACGCCCGCCGAGGTTTAACGACGAAATAATGTGAATAAACAAAATCTTCTACGAATGTCATACTTCTATATTATTTAAAGCTGTGTGTGAAATCTTACCTACTAAGCTTCTTAAAAATCACCTAAAATAAATTAATAAGGCACAAGAATTATCACTAGACAACACATCCACATTCTTGTGTGTATTTATATTATGTCCAATAACGTTATAGCACTTCGTAAAGCTCCTAAAGTTCATTATTTACAACTCAGTCACTAAAAGTCTATTTTATCAGTACTGTGTCACTTATTTTATACTATGTTCGGCTCAATTTTTCGACAAGTTCAACGTGTGCGAGTCGGAGAGTAACGAGTGAAGATTGTCATTCGCAGGGTCAGTGCTCCAAGAAAATCTGCAGTACGCGTCGGGAGACATTGTCGGGTCCAGTATCGCGGACTCCTCGAGCTGGCCGCCCGACAGCATGTTGTTGAGGTGCTTGTTTATGACCGCGTCTCCGGGGCTCACGTAACCGTTCGACGTCGGTGGTTTTAACGGCACTGTATTCCGTACCGGTTGTTTATGACTAGGCAAGGCGTCTAAGGACTGCAATTGAATATAGCTGCTGTCGGCGCCGGATTTCACTGGCTGTGGCAAGGTCGGCATAATCGGCAAGCTTTCAGACCCGAAAACTTTAGTAGGCGAAGGCCCTAACTTGGGGAAATTCATCATTGACTTCGCTTGTGCGTCTTCCGGCATCACGTAGCCCGATGAGGCTGGTGGTTGACTTGGGACGCTAGGCGGCGCTACTCCAGTAGTGAATATCGGCGGTGCCAGTGCAGCCATCACATAACTTGAGGTGGTAGGCTGCGACGCTGGTTTTGCAATAGGGCTTGTATGTGGTGCCGGCGCTGATTGTACGTAACCGCTTACCGGGTTTACGACGGGCGCTACTGACTGCACATAGCCACTAGGATTTTTCTTAAATGATTTGTCACTGAAGTAAGGAGAATTTTCTCTAGAATTGTCAGTTTCGGAATTTGAAGAATCCTCGTCTTGCGTTGCATTATTATCATCAGTCCTCACGGGCTCAACTTCTAAATGCAAGGACGAGTCCGAACCATCGTCCGATGTGGAAGCTTGACGCTCGATAGCTCCTCGAGATGTATCTGACAGTGCAGTGCTGTCCGTGTGGTCACTAGAACCACAGTTGTTTTCACTATTTTGTTTAGTTTCTGGAGTAGACACAGTAGTTCTACTGTTCGGTAGCAATAACATTTCGTCAGAAGATGGCTTATCGTCCTTATTAGTAGGATTCCATCCACCAAAAGCGTATTTGGAAATATCTTTCTCAGGTATACCTAATCCACTTGGAAGGACTGGTTTTATATCTTCCATTTTCCTGTACTTTTTATACAATTTTATAGAGCCATACATCATACCTATGAGAGCAAATATAATTATCAGAATAACAAGCATAGTTAGACCTTCCTTGCTTCTGCAAGCTACTGAAGCAGGAGGACTCCATGGCCCAGGGTATTCAAGAAACTTTCTATTTTGTTTTAAAGGCAAAGCTACTTCAGGTCTGTCAGCTAATATGCCATAATACGGGTCTTCGTCGAAATTAACAGCTCTCACTTGATAAGTTTCGCTCTCATCTACTCCTTCACAATGTGTCAAACTATAAGACAAGGAAGTTGTATTTATAATCTCGTCTCGGTTAATGTTTCCATCCTTTACCCTTCTTATTTGGTACAGGTCAACAGATCCCCCAGGGCTGACTGGGGGCTCCCATATCAAAGAATCAGGTTTATTTTTTATTGTGGGCGGCCTCAACATGCTAGGAGATCCAATCCTTGTTCTAACAAAGATGCCATAATCAGGACTAGGTTTAGAACAACTCCTAATAGCCGCATTGCATGCACTTACAGTTAATGTGTAGTTGTGGTATGCCTGAAGACCAGTCAATTTCATGTAGATTCTAGTGGAGTTTTTATCTTTCTCAGTCATTTTATCTACCATTTTGTCAACCTTTAAGCCTTTCGAATCTTCAATAAAATATTTAGCAATGATACCATTTTTATGCAATGGTGGATCCCATGATATTATTAAGGAGTCACTTTGAACATCTGTAATGCGCACATTCCTTGGACTTGTTGGTGTATCCTCAATAGTTGTCACTCCGGTGGAAGCATTTTCAATTGTCTTCAAACCATAGGTAGTATTCAGAGCCAAGGTAAAAAGATATGTTGTATAAGGTTTAAGATCAGTTATGTTTATTTCCTTCTGTGAAGGGTTTGATACATAGTATGTAGATTTATTTTCGTAAGTGGTGTCACACACATTGCTTGTGTTTAGAACTGGGCAATAGGTGATAAGATATCCTTTTATAATACCTTCCTGTAAGGTACAAGACATTGTCCAAGTAATTTGAACAAATGTCTTCCCTGGAGCATCATGATTCACTTTCACAGGGAATCCATACATTGGTATTCCATCTTTAGAGATATCACAGGATGCCCATGTCATGCCACTTGTTTTAGAGCCACTGTTAGCTGATATTGCAAATTGATATCTACTGTCTCTTGGTAAATCAATAACATGGTTGTTCTGTTTTGGATCCAGGACAGTGAAGTTCATACGTCCTGTACAAATTTGACTAGTATTATGCTGACACCAGAAAAGTGTATAGTTATCAATTTCCTTGACACCAACCCAAGATAATTTGTATGTGCCATTTTCATAAGCAAGTTTTGTGAAAGATGACACACTTAAAACTTCACTGTCATATTTAGATGGTATATAAAGATGACTGCTGTTTACAGATGAGCCTACTGCATTAGTGGACCAAATGGTAACATCTATAGCATCTAAAGTTGCACGATTTAGTTCAACATAACTCAAACTTTTGTTTTTATCTGGGTGCCAGGTCTGTGGGTTCTTAGAGCCTGTTGTAGCTACAACTTTATAGGTAAAGTTTGCGCCAGCCTCTTCATATTCTTCCAGCTGTTTCCAATACACATATAAAACTCGGTAATTTTCATAAATTGATTGAACAAATGCTCCAGCAATGGTATCAGGTGGTCGCTGAGGACTCTCACTTGCTGTTGTAAACAATACATAAGTGAAATCAGACCAGAATTTATCTTCAGTAGCCAATTCTGACTTTATATAAATTCGTACCTCATAAGACATATGAGCATATGGTAAGTTTGAGAGGAGAAATGTATATGTCTTGTTTTTTGGCGGTAACATAGTAGCATCAACACTTCGGAAGTATGCTGTGTTATCTATTTTAGCAATTTGGTATTCTATCCTATGCACAACTGCACATGGCAAAAAATCATACATGTTGTTAGGGATCTTCCACTGAAGTAGTACATTGTGGGGGTCAAACTTTAATACCTTCAGTTGTTCTGGGGCATCCGGCTTTACAACAGAGAAATGGTCAATGGTAAAGTTCTGTTCAATACAACCAAAATAATTGCAAGATGATAAGTTGAAATAATAATGGGTTTCCATCTGTTTGTACCTGGGTTGACTTGTGGTACTCCAGGAACAATACCTTAATTTACCAATACGTTTTGCTTCACAAGGTTCAAATGTGTTTCCATATATATTGAAGGATAACCGGTATGTTATTATACTGTAAACCTCTGGAGAAGTCCAGGTACAGTTCAGTTCATCAAGGTTCTTTGATATACAGCCAAAGTCAGTAACATTTGAGGGAGGTTCGTCCACCAGCACTCTACTGGTGCATTGTTTGTTTGTCACATTATTCCTACAGTAAAATGTGTATACCTTTTTCTCCAAATTTTCAATATACAACCTCCGGGTGGTTGCATTCACTTTTTCTGATGCAATAACTTGTCCACCGAAGTGAAACTCCAAGTCTTCAGCAGTATAGTTTTCAGCCACGCAGAAGATCTCCAGAGGTTGGCCATAGAGGAGTTTGATCATAGTATCAGGGTACACGGCAACCGATATGTTTACTCCCAGACACTTTGAAAAAATACATGGTAAACAAATAAAACAATTCAGTACTATACACCACATCCATAGTCCGAACTGCGGCCCCCTTCTGAAACCTTTGCACTTTCTTCGGGTATTTGTACATAAATCTGCCATCACTGCTGCGGTTATCTGTCACTCCATCACGAATTGATGCACTGGTTACTACTAAACCGATCGCGGCGATAGACACATTCCTTGTTTTTTTTTTATCTCGCGAGCTAAATGGCGCACCGATGGTCTCAACACGATGACACACAACACACTGACTGAGCACCGTCACTATTCGCGCACCACATTTATTTATCGAATGCTACTATTATTCGGGGTCGCGTTCGTGATAAAAGTTTCAAGCGCAAGACCGGGACTCGATTAATGGTTCAGGATTGAAAAATTTTGTAGCGTTTGCAGTACTTACATAAAATAGAAGAAAACTTTGGGAATACAGAAATTCTCAGAAAAGCCAACTTCAGTTCAGTTCATACAATTTCTGCGATGATTGACGGAAGGGGCTACCAGCCCTAAAACTGTATTTGCCTAAATTGTCGGTTATCATATTTTCATTTTTACAAAATTATAAAACACAAAATGAACTGTTGAATTCATATAATAATTGGTTATATGAGTAGAAAAAATAAAATAAAATATGCTACTGATGAAAAAAACATTCTGTTTGTTTGTCTAGTTACTGTTGATCTCAAGTATACTAACTAGAACATATTAATATAAACAAATTTACAAAAAATCATCTTTACGTTCGTAATCCTTATAATATTTCTAACTGCAACAGTGTTAAATGCCAGCAACAATGGCAGATACAATTTAGCATATAAATACTAAATGTTATCGACCTTTATGACTTCAAATATATTTAGCATGTTCATGGTTCACAGACAAATTATTATTATTTATTGTGAAGTATGTATGTACCTACAAAGAAATAACTTTAGTGTACTGAAAAGTAAATTAAACAGAAGTAATGAATGACAAGGCTGGTAACATTGTTGTGGACTGCACCTGAAGCTAGCAACAAAAGCTACAATGGTTCAAAACAAATCAATATTAAAGTTGAAAATGTTACCATTAAAAAGGACTTTTCCACTTAAGTCGGCAAACTCTTTTCATAATTTTTATTGGCCAACATAGAGCAACACAAGCCGTGTTGCTCTATCTTGACTCTTGACCAATATCAAAATCTCAGCAATACACATACTTCAAAAAATCTTCATGTACATGATCAATCAGTAGGTTGCCTTGGCCTTGGCCTTTCCAAAAACAAGTCAATTTCAGAAAAGAGAGGACCCGCTGAACCTAAAGGACAAGGATGTGTATGTTGAGAATGAAGATAATGAATATACTATTATGTATGATTTAAATTTAAAATTATACTTTATGATAATTTACTTTTAATAAAGTGTATTTTTCGATACCCTCCAAAATACCAAACATAGGAACTTAGACATGTGACTTTGACAATTTTGAAATTACTGATGACAGTACTTTAGTTAGTTCGAAACTTCAAAAACGTAAAAGTTAGAAAACATAACTGCATAAAATAAAAGTTATTACATTCGAAACTTCACATTAGATTAACATGTTTTACATATTCTGTTTTATTTTAGACTTAGCCAATAAATAATATTTTACAGAAGAATAAGTCATCTACATATTATTCAAAAATATGTTGCCACATTAATTATGTAACCAATGTTTTTGTTTTACTTTCAGAACGGCGCTCGACCTTCCAGTGTGTTGATAAAAATAATTTTTGATTTACTTGATATAATTTTAGAGTATTTTTGTAAAAAGTTAATTATGTGAATGGCGAATGTAAAAATGGATGATAGTAACTTACATTCTTTGGGTTACACAACGAAAACTGCGCTTATAAAACTTCGTGATGATATACGAAACGTAATAGAAGAACACAAGAAAAAAAATACTACAGGGTATGTTGATGTTTTACTTTATTATTTAAGAATATACGTGTGTATTTCCATATTATTTCAATTGTAGTAGTTACACATCAAATAGTACTGGTTTAAGTCAATATTAAAATTACGAATCTACATTCTCAATTTAAATAATTACAATTTTTTTTTCCAGATTGGGTCTAGTCCGAAATATAATTTCATTTTCTTCAGAGAAAGTGTTATTGTCAGGAGTTGCTTATACTATAACACTGATATACATAGTGTGCTTAATTCTTACATATATATTTGGTGAATCTGTACAAGCCCATGCCTATTTGCTATGGGAAGCATTTTTTTTAATAGTGATATTGTTAGTAAACTTCTTGGTGGCATTCAATGAAGAGTATCAGTTCAGAAATGAAATACCTCATAGAGTAAGGAAAGTTTTAGGTGAGTCACTGACACATACAGACTTTTCTTGTATTTTTCCTTGTAGCTTTTACTTGCTTTATCCGCATATATTTGATTTTCTCTATCTTCAACTATACATGTATACAAAACTTTTACTTTTTGTTGTTAAAGTGGTTATATAGCAAACTTTCATTTACATTTATAATTATTAGTTAGGATTAATAGCTATGTATTTATGTATTTAATAGGTATTCCAAATCATTTCAAAGTTTTAATTAACTTGTTCTTGATAAGATAATTATATACATGAAGATAATATTGATTTCAGATCAGATTGGTAATAGAATTGTAGTAATAGCAAATTCAAAATGAAACATACTATAGCCGAAACATCAATCATCAATTAAAATGATAGTTTTAAACCATATTATAATAGAAAAAAAACAAAAAAATCTATATAAATAAAAATAATTTTTATTTATATAGATTATTGTTAATGTTTTCTCTTCAGAAACGTTGGACGAGGCTATAGAGAGTTCAAAATGGAAAGAAAATCATTATCCACATTTATGTGCTCCATTCTCACCTTGTGTAATCCTGCAATGGACTTATCGGGACTGTAAGAAATTTTATTATTATTGAAAATATAGTTGCATCTACAAGATATCATTATACATTATCATTTTTAACTGCTCAATGTCATATGTTGTTTGGGGTGGGGTCGTGGGTCAGAGAAATGTAATAAAAAAAAATATCTGTTTCATTAAAGATAAAGATAATGGCGTGGCATGGCATGTCATAATGGCGACAGCATGCTGCTAACATGGCGTCTGGGCAATCTATTGTGGCCCATTCTTTGTGTGACTGACAAATTGTTATACCAAGTCTGAATTAGGATACAATTGTGGTGTGGGACATATATGTATCAGTATTAAAAAAGGTCTACAAAGTTGTAATAAGTTCTCTTTTGTTCATGAAATGCATTTTTTATAATTTCAGCTACAATAGTAAATCTTCCATGGGCACTGCTGGTGGAAGGAGATGTTATTGTACTAAGACCTGGCCAGGAAGTACCTGGTCATTGCCATGGTTTACAGCCAGAAGATCCGGAACAGTTTTTCGGACAGATCTTTCAGCCTACTACACCAGTAAGTAGATAGATGAACCGGTACCTAATAAAATCTTTGTGAATTTTTTCACCAGCATGCAAGTTAAAAAATCTAATAAGTTTAAGTCTGTTCCTAAGCTTTAGTTATATGATATTGGCTCTCTGATTCAAGTTATTCTAGTTATTCTGTTTTATTACATTCTCTGGTTAACTGTGAAAGCATAACATTAGTGAATATAGTGACACATGCTATCAGTTTTACTATATCACAAATGTAGGTGGTTGCCAAATTAACAGCATGTATCCACAAGTTAAATGTTAGGAAATGAAGCTTCTTGATTTTAATTTACAGCAAAAAGACAACTTTAGCACTCCGAGAATAAGAACACCGCATCGTAACAAAGCATATAGAATGTGTGAGACTCCGTACCTGAAAAATCTGAAATTAGCTTTAGAACAGGCCACTGTAAGGCCGGTGACAGTTTTTGAGAAACAAAGGTACCTGGTAAGTACCATTTATATGAAACAATACTGCAAAGCTATTCTATAAGATGTCAATTCGAAGTCTCGAAGTAAGCTCGATCGCGTTCTGGGTGAGAATGCAATCTCGTTTATTTTCACAACCAATGACATGGCGGACTGTGATCAAGGTCACTTCGAGAGTTCGATTTGACATCTTACAGTACAGCCTAGCTGATCGACATTCAATCTCTTTTTTACTTTACAACTAGCTTTGCCCAAGCGGTTTACCCGCTGCTCGGTCTCTGATCATAGCGTGATGTTTTGTAGCCTACCTACTAGCTACCTAGATAAATGAACGATTCAACAAAAAGATAATTGTTATATTCGAACCAGTGGTTCTCCAGATTAGCTGTTTAAAGAAAGCAAACAAACATTTCAGCTTTAAATATTACATCGTAATTAGTATGGATAGATAACATAACATAACATCACGCCTTTTATCCCCGAAGGGGTAGGCAGAGGTGCACACGGAAGCCCACTTTTCACTATTTATGTTATGAGTCCCATGTAATAGGGGGTGAGCCTATTGCCATATATATACCGGGCACATTTCCAGACTCCGTGCTACTACTGAGATTTTTTAAAAACCCAGTAGTTTTTGTAGAGTAGAGACCCCTTGCCCGGCAGTCGCACTTGCGACCACTTGGCCAACGAGGCAGACTGTGTTTTGACTGATGGAGTCACAGTATGGATAGATAATAACTAAAATTAATGGTATTACAGTGTACAGTAAAAATAATGGAAGGCATAGTCCTGCCACTGGTGATATCCCTGGTGGTGATAGCGAGCTTCGTGCGCCACGTGTACCACCTGCCAGGCGTCACGCACTGGACGGAGATATACTTCCTGCAGACCATCGCCGCCTCCCTGCCTCTACTGCAGATTGTGTTCCCCATCGCTTGGGTCACTTTGAACTGCTTCGGTCTGGCTCGGTGAGTGAATTTTTAATTTCTAATTCATACAAGTTTATTTGTTGTGCTGTGATGGCTATGGATTGGTTTGTGGATTATAGAAAGAATCGGGTAACCATTTTTCGTTTGAATAATAATAAAATTGAAACCAATCGCTGTCCAATGACGGTTTAGATACTATATACTTTACTGGGGTATTTAATTTTCTTACAGATTTAAGCTTTTATCGGAGACCAGACAGAAATACGTCCGTCCAAAATCGTGTTCCATATCAGAGGACGCGAGCGATCCCTTGATAAAAGCGATGAGCGATTCCAACCTTCAACCGGAGAACCTCAAGTCTTTGGGGAAGACGTTCTTCAATATCCTCACTGGAAGAGAGGACATGGTCTGCAGGACTGCCAACATTGTCCATGTACTGGGATCCTTGTCGGTATGTCTGTTGTGCTTTTTTTAAATTGCTGTTTTCGGTTTTTGTTAAGTTTCTTTGGATTTTTTTAAATCATTACTAATGTCTATTTGAGAAGGTTAATTTACCACAGGTTTGTATGTAAACACCTGTTGATTAATTATTATGTTTTTCGGTTTACTCACGTAATTATTTGACGAGGAACTCGAATAGTTTCAAGTCATGCCAGAGGCTCATATCACCCGACTCCAGTGTAGCAGTGCGACAGTCGCCGCCCACTGCTGAGCAAAGCGTCTACTTACAAGGTTTGAGCATTAATCACTACGCTTGCTCAATGCGGGTTGGCGATTTTAAGCCCAGGTTTCCTCACGATGTTTTCCTTCACGGTTTGTCAGTGGTGTCGAAGTAATCGTAGAAAGTACATATAAGTCGAAAAAAATCCCATTGGTACTTGCCGTTGGTAGGTTTTGACGCCACTCTCTCATGGATGAGAAGCGGGCATCCGGGCCACCACGACATGACATCGATATCATTAGTCATTGGGGAGGCCTATGTTCAGCAGGAGACATCTTACGGCTAATATGATGGTGATCATTTTCCTAGGCTCTAAGTTGTGTAGACAAGAAAGGCATCCTATCCTGGCCGAACCCGACTGCGGAGAAGGTGTTCTTCCTCCGTAACTCCAGTCCATCATCACACAACTCCAGCAAGACTAGCCTGGTGGGTTCCATGGGACATCAGAGCGATGAACAGCTCGACACACCTGTAGAAGGCACCAAGACAGCTGAACCGTCCACTATAGTTGAGGTGATTGGAGTAATCTATTAATTTTTTCCAATTATAAAAAGGAAATATTTCGTGTTAGTATATTTTCATATGAATTAAGATTTATAAATACCATAATTAAACGTAGCTATATAATTTGCAATAATCTCATTTTTCTAGCTTATGATACGATATTTTAGGTAAGGTTATTGGGGCATTTATTTAGTAAATGGAAAACATCAATAATTTTGCGCGACACAGGAACTTTTTGCACGGCAATCGCAAGTGCTACTCTTCGACCAACGATGCAGTCGTTATATCATAGAATAGACAATAGATATCACATAAGGCCATGCCTTTAATCCTCCGAAGGGGAAAGCAGAGTTGCATTATATCTTAAATCAACATTCCTAGGTGCTAGATCTAACCCACGACCAGAACGCCCCGTTCTGCGTGGAGTTCGACGACCAGCGCTGGCGGGCGCACCTGGCGCGCCTGAAGCCGCTGGGGCTGGCCGCGCTACTCAACACGTGCGCGCCCGCGCCCCGCCACACATACGCACACTTCTGTGCACATCTCACCTGCGAAGCTCAGTACAGGTATTTTGGAGTTTTGAAATAAATCTTTTTTTCAAAGGTTTAAATGGATGCTTGTATTTTGCCCAAATACTCAAACGCCACTGAATTTTAAGTCACGCTGAAGTATATCTGTCCTACAAATTCTTTGTAAAATGACAGACATGGCACGATATTTAAGTACAACTTAAAATTGAGTAGCCTTTTAGTTTTCGGGTGTTTGACTGCTTATAGAAAACTGTTGAAGACAAATCCTCCAATAAGGTCGGTAACTGGTGACCTCCATGGTGTTTCATATGCTTTTCGACATATTCGTATTACCTAATCGCAGCTCACCCTGTGACAGTCCACTACTGGACTATGAATCTCCTCTACATAAGAGATTGGAGATTTAAAATTGTTTAAAAACAATTTTAAACTATTGGCTCTTACGATTTCCACGAGAAAAGCGGTAGTGACAATAAAGTATTCTACACTGACGTCATCACACGGTTTTTTTTAAGAGGGGAAAATCATCGAATGACTGCTTTCGTCTGAGTGAGGCGGAAGCGAGTGTCAAACTCTTACTGATTAAAAACCACCCCGTTCTTACTCCTGAACTTCGAGCCGGAGCCCCGGTAACCCGTTAAGTTCTCCGCGGCTCCATGTCATCACACTGTTGAATTATCAATTTAAAATCTTTGTAATATTGTCATCAGTGAAGACCTAGTACCAGTAACGAACAGGCGGTGCCTGTGCGAGCTCGCCAAGCAGATCGGCTTCACAGACTCTGTCACAGACACCTACCAAGTACAAGAATGCCTCGCCATATTTAGACAGTTGGTAAGTTACATTATTCATAAACATCACCGGTTAACACCAGGCGAGATAGTGGTCAAACGTCGGCCTATCAAATATAACGAAAAATAAACAAAACAATTGAATCTTAGTCCTATTTCTTATTTGGTATATAATTTTACTTCAAAGATTTTGAATTCTTAACGAATAAAAAAGTTAACTTTGTATTTATTTCTGAGATCATGATTTATGAAAGTTAAAAATCGTTTATTTATCCCCAAGTCAAGGTACACAAAAGCAAACGTCATGTAATAGTGTGGCACATGTAAGAGTTTTTTATGCATCATAACATAATCATAGCCATCGGTTGGAGACATTCTAAACAAAGACTTCTAGACCATACTACCTGACCACTCTACCTGTTTTATTACTGATGCTATGATATTACTATTATTATAATTTGACTTGTAAAGTTGTAACTTGAAATTTGCATGCCATGACAGAGTGACATGACTGTGTGGGCGTGCGTGCGTGCGTGTGCGTGAACGTATGTGTGTGTGTATGTTTGTATACACATAAATTATTGGTTTTTGCAAATGAATTATTTGATTTGATATTATTTCTTTCTTTTTTCTCTAGCAAGCGGACACAATCCGTCGCGAAACTCGCTTCGTCCGCTCTCTACAACTGAGCACAAAGGTGAAAGTTCCTCTCCCCCACATGCTGGCCGTCATCGTCAAGGACCAAGCCAATCAACTGCAGATGCTTACACAGGTGAACATTTTTTTCATAATGCATAAGTAGTAATAATAATGTTACATAATCTGTGCTCAAAGCTCTGTCAAGACATTTACTACTAGCTAAAAATTCAATTAGGATTATTACTATTTTGTGTTAAGATTTTACTACAAAGCCTATAGTGATTTCCGATAATAATGTTATTATTCTATCAGTAAAAGTCATGCGTTGCGCTAAAGTATAAACTAAGTTTGCGCAAACGTAGTTTAGCGCATAGTTGCGCAAATTCGTTAACTATTGTAACATAACACTACGCCTTTTATCCCCGAAGATATAGGCAGAGGTGCACCTCTGCAATGAGTACTATAATGTGCACATTATAGTACTCATTGCCACTGTACAATGTAACACCCACTTATCACTATTAGTATGTTATGAGTCCCATGTAATTAGGGGGTGAGCCTATTGCCATATACCGGGCACAATTCTAGACTCCGTGTTACTACTACTGAGATATGTTTTAAAAACCCAGTAATACTTTGCCCGACCTGGGAATCGAACCCGAGACCTCTTGCCCGGCAGCCGCACTTGCAACCGCTAGGCCAATAAGGCAGTCAGTTAGCTGTTGTATTACCTGTATTCGTATTAACTCGTCGGGTACCGTATTTATAGACACAATTAAAGAACAATAGGTTGCGGTCACCGGTGACCGCTTGGTGTTTGACAGTTTAAAACAGATTTTTGCCCTATTTTAACACTAACATTATATTTACCCTCTTTATGCATTCTACAGGGTACAGCAGACATAATACTAGACTCTTGCGTCGACTACTGGAACGGGCGCGATCTGACACCGATATCTCCCGCCGACCGCAAGAAGATCATCGACTTCTACCAAAGAAATTCACTCACTGCTTATTGTACGGCCTTCGCTTACAAGTACGTACAAGCACACAAGCTTTGCGCATGAAATTGTGTTACATAACATAACATCACGTCTTTTATCCCCGAAGGGGTAGGCAGAGGTAAACATTACGTACCACTTTTTATTATTTATGTTATGAGTCCCATGTAATAGCGGGTGAGCCTATTGCCATGATTCCAGAATCCGTACTATTAGTGCTGTTTTTTTAAAAATATCCAGTAAATCTTCACCCGGGAATCGAACCCGAGACCCCTTGCCCAGCAGTCGCACTTGAGAACACTCGGCCGACGAGGCAGTCAAGCGATTAATCTGAACATTTTATAGTTTCTTCAACGCTTGCCAAGTTTAGTGATCATGGCACCGTCTTATGTAGAGGAGGCTCAGTCCCCCACGCGCTGTTGATGATGAAGTAGTGTGTGTATATTCCAGACCCCTGACCCGCGGTATATCCCCGTCGCTGTCGGCCATGTACCTGGAGCTGCCGGCCGACAGTCGCCAGCTGTACGCGCCGCTGTCCCAGCACTGGGCTGACGCTCCAGCGTTACACTTCCACTCCACCGGTAAGACCTCGACAAGCAACAACTCTCATTCTAGAAGTAAGTTTCCATTTTTTTCAATTGGGACCAGGATTTTTGGCATGTAGGGATGTTTCCATGTTTTATTCTCAAATTCTTCTGTTATCTTATCTGATAACTTATAATATATTACTGTATCGGTAAAAAACAGTAAACTGTCGATTAGTGTACCTAAAGTCAGACTGGCCGATAAAGCGGCCTTAAGTCTACCTTACATGAGTTTGTGCATGAAGCTTTTTAAATTAATGAATGTATATACCGTTTGTCCTTACTTTTTGATAGCTAAAAAGAATACAATACATATAAACGTAATATAATCATATCAGATAAGGAAATTGTCATAATTTACAATATTATTATTTACAACATATTTTTAACTGAAGAAACATCCCCATTGAATGAGCACTGGGCACACTGCAGCATTGCATTATTTCAAGTACAACACTATGTAGATTTAAAAGGAATGGCATGCATACACATACGTTAGTAATTACTTTGAGAAGGTTGATAAAACAATGATTACATCATATATGATACAAATTAAGAAGTTTAAAAACTATAAAAGACAAAAACGGGACTCGAACACCTTTCTGAGCTACCATATCACATACCGTAGATGGGTCCACTAGGGTCGGTACCCGCTAAGGGTTATGGGTCAAGCACAATGAAATACTAGGCTTCAAACAGGAGCAGGAACGGAACGGTTTTTAGTCAGTAAAAGTCTGACACTATCTCGCCTCACCCAACCACGCGGTAGGAGTAATTCGATTATACCTCCCCCCCCCCTCCAATTTTACCTATCATATATGTAAAAGTCAAGCACGAATAAGGATTGCATTCACTGGTTGGTTTGTTCACTGGAGCTAGCCAATCAGAGCGCCGTGCTCGATACTATTGCGTTACGAGTCCGACAGCGACAGTTATTCGTGTTTGGCACTCTGCATAGCCCTTCGAGTCAAAGTCAAAATCATTTATTTCAATTAGACCAGGAAGACACTTTTGAACGTCAAAACAAAATATTTAAATATTGTAATATAGTTGAAGATGATTGTTCTTGGTGGTGGGTTCTCAGGGGCGTGAAATTAAGTTCGACACACGAATGACTGTAAACTGTATATATTGGAATAAACTAAATATAAACAAAGTTGCGCAATAATACAAAACTCAGAAAATATTCGCGGCACAAATATGGGCGTGTGCGTCGCGGCTCTGGCGCGGGACTCGTTCCCTCCAGCGTCGAGCGGTCAGTGGCGGGGAAGCGGGGGAAGGGAAATAGTGGTGAGGTGGCGTGTTGCCACTAGAGTAGCGCGCGTGCGTTCGACACAAACCTAAATCGGTGTACCGCGTTACAATATTAAATAATAAGACAAAAATGTCAGTCTGTAGGTCACTCCTCTAGTGAAGCTATTTGCTCGTTCCAAAGTGTAGATTCCTATGGAGAAGAACAAGCAAGAAACTCCATAGGTTACTCTTTTCCAATCATGTCTCGATAGTCACTGAATCTTTCTAAAACTTTTGAATATGTATCAAAATCTCACTATGCATGACATAGCCTCCGCTTCCAACTAAGGGGATTAACGGGTTAACTGCTATATTCAATTTGTTAATTACATTGTTATGTTACAGACTCATTGTTGTTCAACGAGGTGACTGACGAAGATGTTAAGGATGCTGACGGATTCTTCGATATGCAGTGCAATCAGGTGAGTTTTTGGTTATTGGGAACGCCATTTTTGTCTAATGGATATTAATGTCTCATAATTATTACTGTATGTAAAATATTTACCGATGCACTTTTTAGGGGAAAATTGTTGCAACTTCTGCCCTATTTTTTATTTATTCACATGGTAAATTTCATCACAAATATTGCTAACCAGTCGAGATTAACACTAAACTAGACGCCCATTGTGAATAAAAAAACAATCGCACACGGTATATACGGTGAAAAATATACGGCCGTTTTAACTGTTAAATCAAGTCTTTCATAATCATAGGGCCTAGCTTACCTATATGAACCCAACCGTGTTAATAAAAAACCAACTTTAAAATCACAGCAACAAAACTCAAAATACAATAACCATTATCTTACCCCACCAGGTTTTCATAGGCATGGTCACTATGCAGTATCAAGCTCAGAGCGACATGGTAGAATTGATAGAGAGGTTAGAACGGGCCTGTATTCGTTTTGTGCACTTCAGCAAAGAGAATGAACTAAGATCCAGAGTATTTAGTGAAAAAATGGGCCTGGAATCCGGATGGAACTGCCATATATCATTGATGAGCGAAGAAAGTGCCAGGTAAGTGCTTAAGGGCGGTTTTAATCATTAATGTATAGGTTTTTCGCAATATTGATGTCTAGGTGTTTTTTCATTAATAGATTTTCTGTATATTTCTGCAAGTGTAAGTGTTCTATGTAGTATATTCTCTTTTCTATGCAATTTCTTGGTGTGTGCTAAAGTTGACTGTAATTTTAAAGCACTAGATAGAACATTTATACGTAAATCGTGTGCGTGCATTTGAAACTTTGATATAAGCACTTACTATCAGTACTTGGACATGAAAGAGGTATTTATCTTTCTAAGAAGGTACTAAGAGGGCTAATAACATAGGATTTTGAAAATGCACCTCAAAAAAGCTTCAAAAGCACGCATACGACTGAAAATAATGACGTCTTACAAACGCGTTTACAAAAGGGAAGCAATATGAAACCGTACCTAATAATATCAAACCTGCACGGTTATTACATTTTGGGAGATGTTGGGGCATTCAAAATTGGCATGTAATTGCAAATACATAAGGCTGAGTTTCCATGGGTTCTAGCCGAAACAGCCGAACATTTACATAAATACCAGAAATGAATGTAATTTGGGGACATTTTTTACATGTTGGTGTTAACAGGGTGTTTCGAGATCGTCACAAATTAACATGTGGCTTTAATTGGCAATTAATAGCGATTAATTACAATCCGGCATTATTATAACATTCCTATTATCCACTGCAACGAGAACACAGCACAGTTAATAATTTCTCCTTGGAATTCTGTCTTGGAATTATGTTATTTTTTTAGTTTAAATTGATATTTTAAACGTGCGTGGGTATGTACTATGTAGTCTATGTACAAAGTACCCAACGTCCTTTTAGTGTATGTGTAAAGAGATTTTAAATACTTTTAAATTTTCAGTGTCTTTCGAAATCTAAATGTTAGTGTTTTTCTAGATGTTGTGACGAACTATAGCCCATACTTTCATTTTTATTTAACCTTCAACATTTCACCGTCCACAATCATTGTTAAAATATCCATGAAACCGAATCATAGAAAAATATTCATGCAATTAATAAAATGCACTCCATTCACCATACACGCAACAGTGTTGCCAACTAAAACGTTAATTTGACGTTTGCATACAAATGTTGCCAGCACAAAAAATAAAACTACCAATTGGTAGAAAAAGTGAGGGTTGTAGACTATAGTTCGTCACTGTTATGGGACATTGTTGACAGCAAGAGCGCGTCTCCATTGTCGTCGCAAACGTTGGCTCAGGGTAAGGACGGGGCCACTGCGCCTGCACAACTCAGTAGACACGTCGACTATGACGCCGCCGCGCTCGGCTTGTACTATAGGTTTGTTCTCTCGCTCTATCGCGCTCGCTTTGTTGTTTCACGACATTAAAAGAAATAGGTTATGATGAACATTTTTTTATTGCCCCAAGAATTGGGTTTTGATCTTAGCGGTTGCATGAAGGGTGGAAAAAACTATGATATACTGGGGAGAAAATTGGAAATAATTCACATTATACAACAGGGCAATTCAAATATGGCGTGAAATAACAATGCTACATAGTTTTAATAATCTTCAACTATGATTTTGTTTACATTCGAAAACGAACGTTATTTTCTATCCACATAAGATACAATTTAGAATGTAAACAGAATCATAGTGCATTATTTTTAGTTTCGCTTTGCACTCTAGCTTCAGCTAACTTTATTTAGCACTGATATTGTTCATTTTAATATTATCCATTTGTTATTAATTCCTACAACATGCTGCATTCATAATATTCGACGCTAAACTAACATGTGACTAAAATATGAAGCTAAACTAATTTTTTTTTTAATTTGTTTACTCTCATAAATGTATACATTATTATTAAATATACAAAAATCGCCAAACTGTTACCAGTTTGTTGGCGATTTGAATCTTATGTTTAAACGTTTAAGACCTATGTTTGAAGGTAACGAAATAAGGAAGATGATGAAGTATGAAAAAGAAAGGTCCATTAGAAAATAACGTTATGAACATTTTCATTAATTTATCAACCAGTCTTACAGACCGAGCAAGCAATGGGGTTGCTATCTATCAAGTTTTTGTGATATTCAACATTAACGCTATTGTGATAAAGTTGATAATCTATTAAATAATTTTGACAGTTAAACAATGTTTAGTAAATGTGTCATCTTCCCTATTTCAAAACATTGAACACAGCAACTATAGAACCAATTATTATACTCTATTTAATTTTCATGTGTATTAATCCTCTTTATTCCAATATGACAGTAGTAACATCGCGGCATCAAAAGCGTTGTCTATGTCAGCGCCGGGGGCCATCAACCTGGACCATAACACCGTGAAGTTTGACAATGAAATCAAGAAAGCTAGGCATTCTATTACCACACATACTAACCTTAAGGTATGTATTCCATACTTCTTTGTTACTTGTTAGTGTACCTTCTGCAATCCGCGTTATCAGAATAAAATTAAGTAGTTTACTTTTTAACACGTGATAATACTGTATATTTTTGCCAAAATCCATCCAGAGCGCATAAGCCCTCAAAAGTAATCTTGAATCCAATTCCGATCGATTGAAATTTCGTACTCTTGATTTGCAACTCTGGCGCCTATTGCATCCACATTACACGGATATTTAATGAACTAAATGGTATTGAGTTTAGCTTTATATTCTGTTTTCTGAATCCTATTTTAACTTATCTATAGTCCATCTGTTTAGGTAATTAACTAAAGGTAAACAAAGAAAACCACGTGACACAGAGATACTTAACCTACTATACTTCAAATATTTCTCGTGTTTTAATTTTAACTAAATTCACTTTAAACTCGTTCATTTGTCATACACACATATACAACTGCAAATGCCTAAATCGTACAAGAGCCTTGCCTATGGGTCTATTTCATTATCATGTTTAAATAGAAACTATTCTGAATCTGATGTACGGATTTCTTTCTTGTAGGGATATGTGTCTTTGGGCCAAGTTTCTTCAATATATTTGAACACATTAATTACAAACGATGGATAACCTAAACTTGAATAACTTAATAACAAAAACAAAACAAAGAAACAAGATAAATTCAACAAAATAGGAACGCGAGCGCAAACGACGAGAGAGCTGTCAATGGCGCCTGATTAACCGACTAAACGTAATACACGCTACTTTCATTGTCGCGCTACATCTTAGTTGTACTCTTTAATTTGACATTATTTGGCTTCGTTCTTAAAGAAAAGTTTTGGATACCTGGGATTTTAGGCTCTTTATGGTGTCTATTGTAATGAAATGTTATACTATTTAATAAATGTTATTAAATTAATATCCTCAAGCAGATATATATAATATTTACTAAGAAATAAGTGAAAAGGGACAGAAACATAACATTTAATAGAGAAAACTGTCGTAAAAAGGGAAACAATTTTATTTTTTTATGAAGTATTTTGAATCATGGAAATGTCAACTATAAAGAACTCTTTTTATGGTTTGTTTACAAATAGTTAACTACCTAAACAGACGGAGTATAGTTTTGACATTGAATATATATTGAGATTTTATTGGATTAAAATTGCATTGACATTGGTTTCAAGAGTAAGCACCCAGATCAGTTCAGTAGCTTTGCGTTAAGTAGTAACAAACATACATACATCTTTACAAACTTAATATTAGCAGGATAGTAGAATTCAGCTACTGTAAGAGAGGTTGCCTTGAGACCGATTCCCAGTTAATAGTCATTTTAAAAATCGAACCAAGTATCGTCGCTAAGTAAGCACGTCCGACCATTAGATTTCTGAGTTTTCGAGGCTGGGTTTGTTTCTATGTAAATAATATGCACCATAAGATGTCTCCAGTAAAGGTGGACACTTTCTAACTTCCAAACTGTTAAAAATAATAACATATTTCAGTTTCAACGCAGCAGTATATCCACAAGCCACCCCTCAGCGGACTCCCTGCTAGACGACGACGAGGAGGACGAGGCGGGGTCCCCCGCCGACGCGTGCCGCTCGCTCTCCTGTCTCACTGACTCCACCGACCACTCCGCGCCCGTTAACTTCGATATGAGTAACAGGGTCAGTAATGTCAACTTTATCACTTTGTAATAAAGTCGAATGTGTATTGAACATTTTTTATTGAGGTAAGCTATATTCGTGTACGGGCAAGAGAGTCCTACATAGTTTGGAATAGATATCTTTTTGTTTTATAGAATTTATTCATTCAAAGTTATTGTCAGTGACTCGGATTGTGCGCATTGCTCCATTGATGTCTGTAACTTTCTACTTCAGCAACTTGTAACTAAGGGCTCCCGTTGAGCACGAAACTGATCGGACTACCCTGTACAGTAATAAATCGACCTGTATGAAGATTAATTAAATTCATATTCTTATACACAGGCGAAGCTCCCCCGTGGAATCGAGAACATCCGTCCTCATATAGAACAAGTGGACAACGTGCCACTACTGGTATCTCTGTTCACGGACTGTACGGCGCGGTCCGTGCAGCAGATGATACAGATCATGCAGGACTACGGCGAGGTCGTCTGCGTCATGGGATCCGCTGCCAACTGCTTGAACATGGATATATTTATGCAGGCTGATGCGAGGTACGAGAAACAATTTTTATCTGCTGTTGTTTATATTATGAAATTTGAATTTTGTTCCAATTCAGTGTTCGGACAGTTTCTCTGTATTCGTAAATGTATTTAAATAAACCACAACAGAGGATTTTTGGATTTCAATAAAAGTTTTCTCGATTCGGAATTCCTGTAGAACGAGCTAAGGATTTCGTCTCACAAGTGCCACGCACCTTTTTACGTTCATTTCCTATGGCGATTCATACTACACCATAGACAACTCTAATAAAGAATCGTTAGTTCAAAACGTGACCTTGCCCGCATCCCGAGCAAAGTTCTCATCTCTTAGCGCACGCAAACATTTGCACATATAATTATTACTAGCTTTTAAAGGATAAAAAGTAGCCTATGTGACATATACCAATACATACAGCGCCATCTATACCAGTACTTTTGTTTCCCTCGGGAATATCAATTTTTTCCGGGATAAAAAATACCCTATTATTTAATCCAGACTTCTAACTTTACGTCTGCAAAAATTCAAAGCAATCAGTTCAGTAGTTACGGCGTGAAAACGGAACAAACAAACAAACTCACTTTCCGAATTATAATATTAGTATGGATGAACGTCTTGTCAATATAAATAAAGTGCACATTCCTATGTGACTAAGAACTGTAAGTCTTCTTGGTACCAATGTTAGTTATCATGGTGTCTATGTTCACGTCCTCCAGTATAGCAGTAGAGCCGCTGTACCCGGTGCTATGCCAGAAGATGCCGCCGTACCAAGTGCCGGAGTCCTGCATCGGACCCATCGATATCGCGCGGGCACTCAACTCTGTGCCCTGTTCACTGTCGGTTAGTAAACATACACATATAATTTAATATTTATTAATTCAAAAAGTGGTTACTGTTTAGAGTTTCAGATTACGACTTATACTTATAACAGTTATCCTACAACTAACAGAGGCCTTAGTACGAGTTTGTCTTACGTTTTAGTACGCGTTCGGCGCTCTGATTGGTTGCTTCATTGGCACCGGCCAATCAGAGCGCCGAACGCGTACTCGTTTCGAAAACTTTAAACGTAACTGAAACTCGTACTAAGGCCTCAGAACGAGCATCCGCGACCGAACTAGGCGTGAGCCTGTATCTCGGCATGCGGCGCCAAATTCCCGCTATAAGAAATAACAAATATGTATAGATAACATGTCTGATCACTATATCAGATTTACAACCTTATTTCTTGGCAATAAAGTTGGTGTTATTTTGATTCGTGATTCTTCTAAAGTAGCATTGTATTGTGATATCAGGAATAAATCAAGTAATTGTTTAAATTGTATGTGTACATTGCTTTTCACGCTGCTCAGTTACAAAATAAATGGCAGGACCAGCCATTTACAAACTACTGTAGCCAAAAGGTGCGTATACAATTAAATAGTGCAAGTAGATTAGTATTTATTTTATTTAATATCTGTTTAATATCTCAAAATAAATGTTTTCTGTAATAAAAAAATACAGCAATAGGCTCACCCCCTGTTAGGACTCATAACATAAATAGTAAAAATTGGGTGTTACATTGTACAGTGGCATTAAGTGCCGTAATGTGCACCTCTGCCTACCCTTTCGGCGATAAAAGGCGTGATGTTATATTCTTTAATAACTACATTTAGTTTGTTGCGGACGCAGCACATGACATTTATTAATTTGACATTATTTATTTGTATTGTATTCTATTTTTATTATGTTTATGTCATTTTTTTGCTTATTTTAATTAACTAGCTTACTGGCGTTTTGGTACCTACTGTAAGCCAGTAAGTGCATGGTTTGAATAAATAAATAAATGATGAAGAGCCCCCGCTCTGGCTCGAAACTAGTCGAACAATCCTGTACAGTTTCGATAGTAAACCATAGTGATAATTTTATATTACTAGATGAGCCGCGACGCGGACGTGTCGCTGTTTGCCCTGATCGCGATGTCCCGGCACTACATGACGTGTCTCTGGAACAGCACGCAGTTCTGGATCTGTAGCGTCTGCTTCATTGCACTCTTGCAGGTACACTTACATGACTTATATTTTCATTGACGTTTGTATGTCCAAAACCTATGAAATAACCTACCGTCTGATAAAATAAGTAATTTCATGGCTGTTTTGTATAGTATATAGTCTATAGTTGTATTGTTTTGCGAATTTTATTCCTTTGATTGTACATAAAGCTACACCATGTTGCATTATTTGTGAATGTAATTATGTTGTTTTATTTAAAGTAATCATTTTATTCAGAAAACAGGTTACTCCCACGTGCTTTCCATCTCGAATACCTAGTTGTTATTCCAGTTCTATGAAATAATTGCTTTTCTAGTACATTTTTATTTTAATGTTCGTCTGGTAATTATTTTAAATCATTAGACGCGTATTTTTATTTACTTACGAAAACAAATTATTCGAGGATTTATTGATTTGAAATGTCGCGTGGCGTCACATTTGAGTACGTTTTATACTTAAAAATGACGTAGCTGATTGAAGTTTTATCTAAGTATTGTTTTCTTACACGATTAAATAAAAAAATACGTGTCTAATATTTTTTTATTAGCTAACTGACGGACTAATTACATTTTTAATGTTCATACCTTGTCATCATCTCTATTGTAGAACATTTTATCTTTTGTTCCAAACAGGTAGTTTTAGTGTCCACTGCTGTATTGACAATATTACTGTCTCGACGTCTTCCCATGTTCACTAGAGATGTTTTCGAGTCACTAGCGGAGAGTTTCCTGATTCGGGCAAAGTACCTTAGTTTGTTCATTTATTGGATCGGTATACTGGTGGGGATCGGAAGTTCGGGGATGGCTATTTCTTTGCCTACTAATTATTACATAAGACTAATAACAATTGGCGAGAGGCAGGTGTCGTGTTTCTAGATACTGGACATAATCCTCCCGAGCCGTAAGCACGCCACCTCAAACATGCCTATTTCACTTCATCGATATTCATCAATGACTCTTTCTGTATGCTTGTCGATTAAGGATGCTTTTTGAAATCCACTATTTCGTTAACTTACATTCGTCTAGGGCGCCCTCAACCAACTTCACCGTGCATTTTCACTCACTCATACATATTTTTCGTAACTATTTTAACATTTACTTTTTCAATACAACTTGACCATCTTAACATAAATTACTTTATTAATTTTTCTCGCATCTTTTAGATTTCTCTATATCACTCATATTTAAGCTTTCATTCCATCATCATCTAATCCCGCCATATCGCGGATATTGTAGTATACAGGGTGGTTTGTTATTAAAGCGCAATCTCACGCAGTGCTAGCCAAATGCCATTTAGCGCTTGTCTACATGTAGAATAGAAAACCAAATTATATGGAATTGACGTAAATTTTGACATTTGTCAGTGTCATCCCCATACATTTTGATATCTACTCTCACTGTAGACAAGCGCTAAAGTGGCTTTTGGCTAGAGGCCCTGGTGTTGAAGAATAGATACAGTTGTATATTTGCACCGTGTGTAGGTGGGTTCGCTAGTGGCGTTCCAGCCTCTGTCGCTGTCGGTGGGCGGCGCGGTGTGGGGCGGCGCGTGCGTGGTGCCGGCGCTGTCGGCGGCGCTCGCCTTCGCGCCGCTCGACCCCGCGCTCATGCAGCGCGCCGCCACACGACCGCAACTCATCATGAATGCCAAGGTCAGTACCCAGTACTCTCTTCTACTAACGCCTGTTTCACCACTCTCAAAAAAGTGTTCGATATCTGGAGGCTTAGTACGAGTTTCATTTACGTTTAAAGTGTTCGAAACGAGACTGCATTCCGCGGTCTGATTGGTTGGTTCATTGGCGCCGGCCAATCAGAGCGCTGAACGCGTACTCGTTTCGAATACTTTAAACGTAAATCAAACTCGTACTAAGGCTTCTGGTAGGTAGATAGTGAAACGGATCGTATTTTACAGTCAAATCACCAGTCAAACTTTTAACCAACCAAATAAGCCCTGTTGAGCCGGTCCCTTCGTCGAGTATGGTTCTTTTCAACTTTTAAAGCGTGCTCAACAGTGCGCGCTCAGCGGGACATTGCCCGGTTCCAAAGAACTAAAATAAACCTACTCTCATACTCTCGTAGTGCCCTTGAATTCAACTGTCTTTCTAGTTTTACAAACTCCTTAAACTGCAACAAAATAGCAAATTATTATCCATTTCCACAATAAAAATGAATTTTCTATTCTCCGCCCACAGATGGCAGTGTTCGTGTTTTGGTGCTACGCATTAAAGTTCCTACCGGCCGCTCTATCCATACTCGTGCTGTACGGGTTTACATTGCGGGCTTTCTGTGAACAAATCGCAGATGCGACGAATGCCACCGCGTGTTGGATAGTGTACCCGGTCAATACAGGAGAATTCAACGCCACTCACGATCTCACTACCAAGAGTTGGCACGGCTGGGGCGACGACTTCTACGATGGATTCTTTCTCGCCCAGCACATCACACTAGCACTCATAACTTTGCATTTAAGTTAGTATTTTATATATTAGTTTGTATTTATTAAAATCATTTCTTTTAAGTTGATAACTAATTGATACTTTTTCTACATGTTCTTAACATAAACTTTACAAAAAACAAAATCTTCAAAGTGATAAAACTTCACAAACTGCAGTTACAAAAATACATGACAAATAATGAAAAATAGACCTTAGTGTTCATAGTAATCTTTAATCATTGTTGCATTATTCTACTGGCTGGAATTGACTGCAGCCTTCATTTGTGCCATCTACATTTTTTTAATAATGTAAAACTCAAAAGCAACTGTATTGTAATTATATAAAGTTGTGTTTAATTCGTAAATCGGTATGGTTTGTTCTCATCATGTACTATTATAGAGTTTGTTAATTTCCAGTTGTGATATCATTATCATTCGTTCACCGACAATCTTCTGTGTGGCAGAAGGGATTCTGGGCTAACAGAGTGTGGTCCGTCACTGTTGTCGTCATGTAAGTGGATTACTATCATTACACCGTTCATTTTTATGCAATCTATATTACGGTATTTGTAATAGACATTGTATACATAGATAAAACATTGTAGGGTTCTGCAAGACCTAAAACAATTAAACAGGATTCTCTACGACACACATAAATCAACACCTTAAAAGTATTACTTGAGTTGAGACTTTTATTCTAAACAGCTTAAGTATATGACATTTCCACAATAAATCGTATTCGATCATTAACGTTACATAACGTCTTATTCGCCAAACGGTAACCAGAGATGTTGTCGGTAATCAGAAATGTTATACTTATATTACAGCATATCCCCATTATCTCCACCTACGACAGTTGTTACAGTCACGTTCGTATTTTTTTCCCATACCTATTGAAAGTTGACTGACCTCAAATAACTTGTGATGAACGCAATACAAAGAAAATTATATGACCCTCCCGCCTCATACAGGCGGAAGAAGTCATTCGATGATTTCCCCTCTCCCCGTTAAAAAAAATTAGGTACACAGATTAATTTCAATTATTTTTTAAATTTCCAGTATCCTTACCCAGTTGGCGTTCAGCGGTATAATGTTAAGCAGTAGCTACGGGTTCTGTGAGAAGTGGGGTTTGTGCGAGCTGCGGTACTACGTCCCCTGGCCGCTGTGGCTGGGGTACGCCGCCTCGTTGTTCCTAGTGTTCGCGCTCAACGAGCTCATCAAGTGGCAGGAGATCAAGTAAGTCACAGACCTTTTTACATGAGCTTGGAAGACAGCGCGATGGTAACCAAACGTCAACCTATCTAGTATACAAAAAAACAAAGATACTGAAGTAAACTCAGAACTGTATTATTCCTAAGGCAAACTCGGCAGGCCTAGGCCTAGCAGCTGTAGCCAAATGCCATTTAGCGCTGGTCTACATGTAGAATAGAAAACCAAATTATATGAATTTGACATAAATTTTGACACTTGTCAGAATCATCCCCATACATTTTGTTTTCTACTCTCTCTGTAGACAAGCGCTAAAGTGGCGTTTGGCTAAAGGCTGTGGTTACAGAGGGGCGAAGCAAGGCCTGCGTGCGTGCCCAATTGCCTATAGAGCGGCGCTGCGCCGAAAAAAATTAGAGGCCCCTATGGGTCTATACTTTTTCGACCAACAATATCCCAAGTCAAATTCCAGTTTTAGGCAAAACTGTCTGTAGCTTCTTAGTTAGTAATAATTTTTTTCTATCCCCAGCGTGGACGGACGCAACCAGCGGCGCGCCCGCCTCGACTTCGGCACCAAACTGGGGATGAACTCCCCGTTCTAACGTCTAGTCAATTATACTTTATTTGAACTGAGAATAATAAACGTATCGAAGCCGTCTGGCGTTTATTTTATAAGAGAAAATGACCTTGTACTTAGTACTATTTTGTACTTACTTTACTTTATATGATGTTTTGATGATTTTAAATAAATTTCGTACCTAAAGCATACATTTTTTTTTTATTTCCTTATGAAGCAAGGTGCGTCAGGTAAGATAAAGAAAACCACACCATTGAAAACAAATATTCTTTTTATTTTAAAACTAAATTATGATAATTTTGTGATGCTTATTAAATGTTGCCAGTCATTATTTTGTTATACCAATTCCTTTGTTCGCTCTGAGCTCTGGGGTCAAGATTAACAGACTTTAGTTGTGTAGACACGTGGATAAAACCGTATTAGCGAAATATTACTCTTACTTCATCTACCCTCTTACTACAGCTACGTTACTAAATTGACAATGTTCCTTTTACACAAAACATACTCCAGGTAATAGACAATAATAAATCATCTCTGAAATCAAACATTTAAAATGACCGCGCACGCTGCTAACGGTCGGCACTCTATAAAGAATACATAATTTATTTTTATGGTTAATAACATTATTTTATATCTTTCAATTATTAAACTACATTAAGGTTAGTCGGTAAACGCTTGTACTTAATAGGTACGTAAATAGTGTCCGTCACTAGGACGCATCTGGTAAGTCTAATATTTGTTGAACGAAGGTCGCGACGTCGATCTCCTGGCTGTGGTCGAGGCAGAACGGGTGCGTCAGTAGCGCGTCGTAGTTGGGTCTCTGTTTGTAGTCCTTCTGCAGACATTGCACTATCAGGTCCTCGAACTGTTCGGAGAACTGTCCGCTCGGCAGTCGCGGGGGGTCGTCCTTGACGACTTGCTTGAGCTGTTCGAAGGGTGTGCCCCACGTGTTGTACGGGAACTTGCCGGTGGCGAGCTCGATAAGGGAGATGCCGAGTGACCAGACGTCGCTGCGGATGTCGTACTGGCCCGGGTTGCCGCTGGGGTCGATCCTCTCGGGCGCCATGTACGGCTTGCAGCCCGCGTCAATAGTCTTAGCAACAGAGTCCACTAAGTATCCAGATATACCAAAATCGCACATCTTAACCTCTCCTTTTCTATTGATCAGAATATTGGATGGCTTCACGTCTCTGTGAATTACTCTGAGCTTAGAATATAAATAGTGTAAAGCACTGACTACGGAGAACGTAATTTTCCCGAGAATATTTTCTGGTATGGTGCGGTTGTTGTGGTACACTTTCATGTAGAATTTGTCGAGGCTCATGTCCATTACCTCCATGCAGATCCAGACATCTCCCTCGCGGAACATGGCCCCGTAGAAATGCACTGTGTATGGGCAGGCACTGGCTCGCATGGACACGTCCAGGTCCATGAGCAGACGCTTTAACTCTGTAGACTGACTGTTGAATGAGGCTGTGATTCTCTAAAAGGAAACAAATAAAGGAAAATAATATAGTATTTTGCCTATGTACTTCAAAACTCGTACAAAATTACCTACCAAAAGTTCCTCAATCCACCTAATGAGTTTCCTAAGTAAATAGTAATCAATGTAATCATACATACAGATTCTTGCTTATTCTGTTCCATAGGAATCTACACATTAGATTGAGGATTGATTACTAGGGGTCAATCCCCCCAGTAAAGCTAAACAGATTTACTATTTTATTTGACCTTCAAAAATGCCTTGGATTGGTCTAAATAAAACAAGTGTTTGATAGTGCTAGCAAATCTGGTATACTTTAATGTATGCTGGAAAACAGCACATTATTTGTCAATATTGTAAAGCATTCTAGATGAGGCTTTGATAAAATCATACTTATTGGTAAATAAATACCTTGACTGCCATAGTGGTGTCACTAGGAATATGCTTCATCTTCTCCACAATACCATAGGCACCACGGCCCAGGTCACATATCTTGATCAGGTCATCTGCATGCACCGTGAATGTCTTGTCATCTACTGTGATTGTTGTCTGCTTGTCCAAGTTTCTTGGTGGTGTTCTGCATAATTTTAAATTAGAATATTAATTAAAGTCTTATTGTAATAAAAAAATACTGCCAGGATGACTATTTACTATGCAGTTAGAATAAAGATTTACTCAGTACTGAGACAGTAGCTATTATTATACTAAATTATACTATTTTTAACAGAGCCACCTTTACTTCAGTAATGAAACAATGGTTACTACTTCTGTACTGAATCAGTCTTTATGATCTTTTACTTGCATAGTAAATAGCTGTACTGGGTACTTGGAAACACTATAATGCAATTTTTTCTATAATAATAATATGTTTATATTTAGTGGACAATTTACCAATGTGTGTAACACAAATAGGTCAGTAATCAGCGGTATTGATATACAATTAGTATGCTCATACACAGTGCTAAAGTGGGTTTGTTTTTCCATGAAACTGTACAAACTCGATAATACAATAAATATATTGTAAGAGTATAACAAACTTCTATGGTAACATTTAAAAAGCTATGAATTTTGTTTAGCATGTAAATTATAACAAGTATCTGTCTGTATTATTATTATTTTAATAATACCAAGTCTAGATGCATAGATAACCTCCAATTTTGAAGTGATTATGTATTATTATATCATATTGCTAAGATTATCAGTTAATTATGTAAGTTGGTATTTATTGCTTACAGTAATCAGTGAGACAACAATAATCAGTAGTAATATTAAAATATGCCACCTCCACCTGTTTATTTACTTCGTGTGTATGGACCTATTTTGATATGGTGCTGTTATGCTTATCATTGATGCTACACTGTATACATTCAAAGTCAACTAACTAACTAGTTATATGTCATAGCTAGCTCTAAGGCTAGCTCGCAAGGTTAATTAGGTATCTCTTGTCTTTATAACTTTGACAGTATTTATGACGTTAAGATACATTCTTGCATCTGTTTATTAGATTTACTTTGATAGGGAAGATATTTTAGTGTGCGGAAACCCAAAACCTTGCAACTATAAATGTCAGGTAGACAGATTAGATGATCTCTCGACACTCACACGATCTGCTCCTCTGGAGGCTTGAAGTTGAAACCTGGCGGCGGCAACTTTCTTCTCGACATATCGTCGACGTCTTCTCAACGGGACTTATACCAGAAACCTCGAATCTTATTAGAATTTTACCAAATCCCTCCACGATACGCTTTACATCAAACTGCTAACTTAACAATATTGTACACAAAGTTTACATCTAAAGTACACCCACATAGTCTAAGGCAATATTGGACGTAAGCTTGATACTTGTTTATCGCGAAAAATTTAATAATATGAATTTATTTCCAAAAATTAAACACTCGGAAGGCAGCTAGGTTTTGACATTTAAATTCAGTGTTGCCATAGAAAAATTTTAACCAAGCCAACAAATAAATTAAATAGCTTAAATTCTCGTCTGCCTCGTTGGCCGAGTGGTCACAAATGCGACTGCCGAGCAAGGGGTTCTCGGGTTCGATTCCCAGGTCGGGCAAAGTATTACTGGGTTATTCAGTAGCAGCACGGAGTCTGGAATAGTGCCCGGTATATGGCAATAGGCTTACCCCAGACTCATAACATAAATAGTGAAAAGTGGGTGTTACATTGCATTAAGTGGCGTAATGTGCGCCCGTAATAATGGAATAGGCCCTTCGAAATAAAAAGGCGTGATGTTATGCTTAAATTCTCGTCTGTTTAATTCAAAAAGTGCTACTGCTTCTTCACGCTCACATCTTTGAGGGTAAGCAGGTGATAGCAATTTATCCGTCATGTAACTTATTACGAATTCAAAACTAGTTTTATGTTTACAATACCTTTGTGTGACTCTGTGGCCGTAGTTCAATGAAATTCGCTTTCCACCAGGCGAGATGGTGGCCAAACGTGGATGTTACAATTATAAAAAAAATTCAAGCATTCATTGATTGGTGCAATGAAAATACAATTTTATTTTTACTAATCGGGAACCCAACGGGACACACAAAAATGTATATTTCATACATTCTCTTATTAAATTAACTAAAATCGCGGGTTACTCACGTGAATATACTGAGAAAAGCTCTACTAGTATGTCTCACGATAGTTATTAAAATTCTCATATTAGATTAGATGTTAGTTAGTTTGCAGATCAATATTTATAGTAGTATCAATAAAAATCATAGTGAAAAAACAAAATGCAAATATATTTTCTTCTTACTGTCTAATAACAAAACAACGTAAAAAAGTAGTCATGGATGTGATTTATTTGGAAGAAAATCTTATAGCTCTGACAGCATCTTTTGCTTTCTTTACAGCATCCTCTTTGATTTTGTGCCGTTTCTCTTTTTCAGCTAAACCAACCACAACATCGTGTTGTAAAGCACTCTTTACATTTGCTTTAGCAAAAAGTTTACTTAATACGTAATCATCATCGTCTGTTTGTTTTTCCTTTTCTTTTTTACTCTTTCTCTTTTCTTTTTTAACCTTTTTAATTGCGACTAAGTTTTCAACTTTTATTTCTGGTTCTGGGGAATGTTTTCTTTTGCGAGTCCTATCAACTTCTTGATTAATACTCGGTTTATCACGTTCTGGTGATTTTTCTTTCACTGCTTCTTTGAAAACATTTTCTTGTGCTTCACTGTCACATGTATCAATGTCAGGAGTTTCTTTATCACCTTGATCTGCATTTTCTTGGCTTTTTAAAACATTTTTTAGTAAATTTTCTTCATAGTCCTTTTTCGCATGCATGTTTACTATATCTAATTCAGATAATACATGATCAAACGGTATATTAGTAACTTGATCATCAACTAAATTTATTTCAGGTACTTCTTCTTTAGGCGGATTCAATAGCAGCTCTCGTTTCTTTTTATACTCTTCTCTGGGATCCTTTTCTTCTTTCTTAACTTCTGTTACTTCTTTTTCTTTTGAAATCTTCTTACTAATTTCTCTGGCTAATCTTTTCATTGCTTCTAATTTTTTATTAGAACTAGAAATGCTTCCACTAGGCTCCCCATTATTAATCTTCTTACTTTTTGCATTATGATCAACATTTACTTTGGTGTGTTTAAAAAGTGATGCAGTTTCAGTATCTCCTTCACAGTTCAGTTCTTCAAGAGTAAATAGGCCTTGAAGAGTACTAGTGGTTAACACATTCTTCTGATTGGGGTCTATCAATATCTTGTTACTTAGAAAATGTTTGAAAATCTGCCTCTGATATATTTTTTCTTCAATAGTACCAGCAGATAACAATCTGTAAACTGTAACATTTCTATTCTGGCCGATTCTCCAAGCTCTTTCTTTTGCTTGATCATCTGTGGCTGGATTCCAATCAGGATCATATATTATAACTCTGTCAGCTCCAGTCAAATTAACACCTAAACCTCCAACTCTTGTTGTAGCCAAAAACACCAGATATTCAGGATTTTCATTAAATGTTTTGATCATATTCTGCCTAAGTCCAACATTAACTGAGCCATCCATACGTAAATACTTAAATTCTTGAACTTGTAAATATTGCTCTAATAAGCAGATCATACCTCTAGATTGAGAGAATATTAAAGCTCTATGACCTTGTTTCTGCCAAATCTTTAGTAAAGAATTGACTACAGTCATTTTACCAGATCTTTTATAGTTGCCAAATCTTTCTTGATCAATTTCATCACATTCTTCATGTGCCTCATAGAGGTACAAGTCAGGGTGATTACAAATCTTCCTGAGAGTACATAAAGCAACCAATATCCTGGCTCTTAATGGATCTCCATATTTATTATCTTTATCTAAGATACTTCTTACAGTGCTACCAGTGAGGTATCCCATGTACAGATCCTTTTGTTCCTGGGTTAAGGCACAAAACAACACTTGTTCATTCTTCTCGGGTAGTTTTATATGACTTTGAACCTCAGCTTTTGTTCGTCTCAACATGTAAGGTGTGATAATTGTCTTCAAGGCCTTTGCAATTTCTAATGCAGTAGCTTCCTGATATTCTGTAGCATTAGCATATCCTCCCTGTGTAATTGGAGTAGCAAAATGGTCCATGAAAACTGTATAAGTGCCCAAAAGTCCAGGTCTCATAAAGTCAAACAATGACCACAACTCTTGTAAACTGTTCTGCATGGGAGAACCTGTAATGAGTAACTTGTGAGGAGTTTGGAACTTCTTCACCAACTTACTGACTTGTGTGTCAGGATTCCTAATTTTATGACCTTCATCTAAAATTATATAATGCCATTTACGAGCAGTCAGATCTTGAGTGTATTTCACTATGCCAGCATAAGTGATTAAAAGAATTCCATGAGCTGTATGCAGATCCCGGATCAATTGGTTGTGATTGCCGGCATGGGAGCCAGTGTGGTGAAGGACAGCTACTCTCAAATGTGGACACCAGAAGTGGAAATGAGAGACCCACTGGTAAATCACTGTTGCTGGAGCTACTATTATAGTGGGACCCAATCCTCCCCAAGATCCTAGGTCACTTTTGGACAAGCCTGCTAGAAATGCAATAATCTGTATAGTCTTTCCTAAACCCATTTCATCACCCAGCAATCCTCCTGAATCTACCTGATGCAGTTCCCACAGCCATTTGACACCAATTTTCTGGAACTTATATAGCTGCCTCCAGATGTAGTTAGGTACACATAACCCATTCTGTAATTCATGGGGTTCCTCTGGATCCTTGTTACCTTCCAACACATATTGTACATCAGCTGTCATAGTATCACCCTCATGATTCCCTAGTTTAGCAGCTGCCAAGTTTTTCTTCCAGGTTTCTATTCTCTCATTATAAAGAGTTGTGTCTCCATCATCTACTATTTTCTTTAGGTTCCTTTTATTTCGAGATACAAAGGAAGTGGATGGTCCTCCAACAGTTGTAGTAATGATTTCATCATCAGCATCTTCTTCAGAAGGTAGATACTCCTCATCGGAATCATTTTCTGTAGAAACGGTTGTTTTCCTTTCCCTCGAGGTTGTCGCCACTGGCACTGGTACATCCTTCTCTGTTTCTTTCACAGATTGTTTACCAAATTGTTTTGATTGCTTTTTAGATATAACTTCTGCAGCGGCTTTACTTTTTTGCGAAACGTTGTCCTTCTTGTTTTTATTTACAAATTTCTGTTTTGCAAGTTCCAGCTGTCTTTCTAAATATTTATTTATGTCGACCATTGTTTCCTTTAATGATTTACTTTTATTGATAGATAAATATTATTATAAAGTTTCGAAACCGAACATGTTTTATCATGTTGTGTCTTTCGTTTATGATAGCCAAAGAAAAGAACGAAACGAGAACGAGATTGACATTTGTGTGACTGTGACATATAATTGCTTTCCCGAAGAAAGCTATATATTTCGTTTTAATATAGAATTAATCAACAAATATTTTTTTAATATTATGTAGCATTACATTGATTTTAAAATATTTTATACATATAAACTTTATAAATAGACATGTTTTATGAGAAAAAATATATGAAAATAAAACGATTTCTTCTTAAGAATAAAATGATTTTTCATAGCGTCATTTATAAACGGTACTATTTCTGGGAACTGGGAAAGTGGGAACTGTCAAACTGAAAATTTCCTACTGACAAAATGTAACGTCATTAATGTCAGTTTGGTTTTGGTAAATAGCACGTGTGGTTTGAACGAATGACCACATTTATAATTTCAGCAATTTAATATTTAGTTAATTTGAATATCAATTGATAGTGTATTATAAGATTTAAATAATATAATCATTGATAAACGTTACAATATATTGCTAACAACAACAGTGCTTTTCTTATTTTGAATTTCATAACCTCGTGGATTATTTGTGTAATTCCGTAAAAGATGCAGAAAGTTAAAAGAAAATCCAATGAAGAAGACTCTAGCTCACCTAAGAAGAAGAAAGTGAGTTTTGAAAATAGTGATGGCAAGCCGAAACAAGGTGAAAACGCAAAAAATAATAAATTCAAGAAGGATTTCAAAAAAGATGCGGCGAAGGGTGTCAGTAAGTTTGTAAAGCCTAAATTTAATAAAGATGGCAAAGGAAACCCTAAATTCAACAAAGATGGCAAAGGAAAACCTAATTTCAGCAAGGACGGTAAAGGTTTCAAGGGGAAATCCAATTTCGGCAAAGATCAGGCGAAAGATGGCAAGGGAAAGGGCAATTTTTCAAAAGATCAGGCTAATGGCGAGAAACCAAAGTGGTCGGAGATGAAAAAAGAGAAGAAAGAGCTAAGGCTAGTGAGGCGCAAGGCTAAGACCACTGCTGAAGTGTTTGAAGTGTCTCATAAAGCTAAACTGTTAGCTGCACAAATACAGAGGTAACATAAAACTTTGTATTAATTTTTGTATTATCTGCTTCATTATATTCTGCAATTAAAATAACACTTTCATAACCAATTTAGCTATTTTGTTTAGCATGTAATGTTGAGCAATGTGAATGAATTTTTTTTATTATGTCACAATTTACTTTTCCTCTGACCAAAGAACCCTTATGGTGCGAGTACAAGAGTATTAATAATTTATAGTCAAAGTCAAAATCATGAATTTCAATTAGATCAGGCAAGCACTTTGAATGTCAAACCAAAAAAAAAACACATTTTTCATTATTTAAACATCGGTCTATTAAAGACTGGCCAAGTCTTCTAGTTGAAGCTATTTGCTTGTTCCAAAGTGAAGATTCCCATGGAGAAGAACCAGCAAGAAACTCCATAGGTTACTCTTTTTCAATCAGGTTCACAATACAATTTTTAGTTATTATACTTATATTATACTCTTACCTTTTCAGGAAAGTAGTAAAACCAGACTTCAGATTAAACTCCTGCAAAGAACTGCATTGTTTACTAAAGGGCCATTACAAATCCATAGCCCTAACTCACGATCTCAGCCGAGTCATACAAGTGTTACTCAAGTACGGTCCAGACGACATCAAGAATGAGATTACGGAGGAACTATTAGACTTAATGGTACAAATGGTACAGTCAAAGTACGGTCAACATGCAGTAAAACGTATCTTGAAATATGGTACGGAGTTCATAAGACATGAAGTACTAAAGAAATTCTACGGTCATATTGTGTCAATTGCCACTCATGCAATCAGTGCTCCGGTGCTAGATTACGCCTACGGAGAGTTTGCTACGAAGAAAGAGAAGTGCCATATGCAACAAGAGTTTTATGGAGACATTTATAAAAATGTGAGTTTAATTTTTAGATTAATTACTACATTATTGTAGGTACGATATACTTCATCAACAGCCTATAAATGCCCACTGCTGAGCAAAGCCTCTTCTCCCACGGAGAAGGTTAGAGCATTAATCACCACGCTTGCTCAATGCGGGTTGGCGATTTCAAACTTATAATTAGAAATTATAAGTCCAGGTTTCCTCATGATGTTTTTCCTTCACCATTTGTTAGTGGTGTCTAAATAATCTTAGAAAGTACATATAACTCGGAAAAGGTCACATTGGTACTTGCCGTTGGTATTATTCGAACCCGCACCCTCATGCATGAGAAGTGGGTGTCTTAAACCTCTGGGCCACCACGACTATATACATATACTTAGTTATTTCCAATGAGCCTACAATGGTTTTTCCATTCAGAAAATGAATAAAAAACAATTAAGGCATATTATGTAATATTTTCTTAACTTGCAGACAAAGGATGACAAAGTGAAGACTTTGAGGGACACATACAAGGATAGTCCTGAAATGAAGACTGCCATCCTGCAGGCCTGCAAGGCCAACATACAGAAGATCTTAGACAAAAATCTACATGATGGAGAGTATGTATTTTGAGCGTACATTTCACAGTTTCAATTAAGGTGGCTTTGCTTCGGTTACAGAAACTTTGCATATATACTAACACAATCACAAAAATTAAAACTAAGTACTCTAAATATTTGTCTAATAATACAGACATTATCAAGATATAGAAAACCAAAGAGAGAAAATATTCAGTTAGTAGTTGTTACAGTACATCTTTTTTTCACCGTGGTCGCTATTCAGAGTATGTTTTAACCCGTTGAAATTCATCCCCTAAATTTGTTCATACAAAAGTAGTCTCTAAGCATTGGAAATAAGGTCTATAATGTAGGTAGTGGAGGGTGGTCACCGGTAACCGCTTAGGGATCTATGGGATAAAGTTGTCACAAGCCATCAAATGAAAGTTTTTGACTATAAAAAATTATTACAGACTGTTCCACTCAACTCTGTACGACTACATTCGTGAGTGCAGTGCGGAGGACCGTGTAGAGTTGATCTCGACACTCAGTCCTCTCATAGTGCCCCTCAGTAACTCGCTGCCAGGCGCCAATGCGGCCTCCATTTGCGTGTGGCAAGGTACCAACAAGGATAAAAAGGTAAGAAACATTTGTGACTAAAAGTTTTAAAAATGTTTTCATTTGTGCCCTCACTGATTGGCGCTAGTTTCGCATGAGGTTTTGACATACATAATAACATCACGCCTTTTATCCCCGAGGGGGTAGGCAGAGGTGCACATTATCCCACTGTACAATTTAACACCCATTTCTCACTATTTATGTTATGAGTCCCATGTAATAGGGGGTGAGCCTATTGCCATTACCGGGCACAATTCCAGACTCCGTGCTACTACTGAAATATTTTTTTAAAACCCAGTAATACTTTGCCCGACCCGGGAATCGAACCCGAGACCTCTAGCCCGACAGTCGTACTTGTGACTGCCTCGTTGGCCGAGTGGTCGCAAGTGAGGTTTTGACTGCGGTCAGAAAACTGTTCTAGGCAAATCTTCGGCTAAAGCCGGTCACCGGTGATTTCGCGTTGATGTTAGAGTTGTGAAAGTGTTGTATTTTATCATAGTAGACGTGATATTGCAGCATTTTACTGGAAAACTTTGTAAACGTATCCACGACACAGGAGAAAATCCTAATGTGGGTCAACATTTTATTTAAAAAAAAATCATTTGTTGATGGTCAATTAACATCGTAATTGAATCGAAAATGTTGAAAAAGTTATAACTATCTTTATTATTTTGCAGACTATATTGAAAGTGGTGAAGGAACATGCAGTCGCACTCAGTAAACATAAGACTGGCTATCGGCTACTGATCGCTATATTCGATTCCGTTGACGACACGGTGCTAGTCAAGAAAGCAATCGTGTCAACATTAGCTAGTAACTTGAAGGACATCGCTAAAGATCACTGGGGTAATATGGTAAGTTGAATAAGGAAATTATTAATATCTATATATATATAAAGTCGTGTTAGTTACACCACTTATAACTCAAGAATGGCAGAATAGATTAGGCTGAAAATTGATAGGGAGGTAGCTTAGAGCCAGGAGACCGACATAGGATACTTTTTAACCAATTTTTTTTTTTTACTTTTTACCGAAAATCACGAACGGGGACGGGAAAAAATGGGATTACGCGTACGAAGTCGCGGGTGACACAAAATTAACAACACAAGCTAGTGACACAAAATTAACCTCAAAAGATTCAACAGACATAGATACTATTTACTGGTTTAACCCATATTACAAAAATAAACTTTCATTGTATTATTATTTACTTCGGTTTTTTGTTTAGTGTCTTGTTGGCCAATGACTATTAAAGTGGGCAAAGCCTATTAAGCTTATCATCAGGCGATCCGTCCGCTCGTTCCCATAAATAAAACAGACTTCAAAAAACACGAGGTTGAGGTCGGTTTTTTTTTTAAAGTTAGTTTTACATAGTTTTAACATTTTAAACATATTTTTAGTTATAAAGGAATTATTCTTGTAGATAAAGGAATTGTCGATTTCAGACTTATAAACCCATCTTTGACATAAATTAAGTAAGTACATCTCTTTTTCAGACCCTACATTGGCTAGTGAAACCAAAAGATTCAGGAGCTTTCCATCCTACTTTCATTAAGTTCTTGGAAGAGGGCGCTAAAAGCGGCACGTCCAAGAAAGATGCGGATCTTCGTGTGTCTGAACTGAGGGAAGCTATCCTCCCAGCTTTGAAGAAGCATATGGAAGAAGAACCAGAGTTCTGGCTTAGCAGTAAAACTAATATGCTATTGACCGTCGCGGTGTTGTCGATAGGTATGTATTTACCGATGCCTTATTGATAATTTCCTACTTTAATTAGGTTTTACGAGATTAGATTATTTCTAACTGAAATAGGAATATCCAATGATCATCATCATATCAGCGCAACGACTTTCCCCACCCAACATAGACCTCCCCACTGATTTTCAGATGAGCCGGTAGGAAGTAATCTGCATCCAACGGCTTCCTACGACCTTTTTATGCCAAACATTTTGTTGGACTAGTTTGGTGTGTGTTACCCAGGCCAGATGTTGTTGAAAATGGTCAACTAATTATCTATAAGATTCAATCTTATAGATAATTAGTTTTGCAGCTTCTGTAATTGTTGCACACATTTTTGAATTTGTTGCGCTTATAGTTTTTAATAATTTCGCAATAACATTTCCTGCTGGGGTAACGTTACCCCAGCCAAATCTTTTTCTTTCTAATGGGAATATTTAAATAATTACTAGCTATAAAATTTGTTGTCTAAATTTATCTAGACGACTAATTTATTTTATAGCTACTTTAGTAAATTTTGTGCCTTATTTTGTATTTGTTCTTTCATCGGTTGCGAAGAACTTCGAGATTTTGCTGGGGTAACGTTTTTGGTTTTGCTAGATCTTTGAAATGGTTTAGCGGATTCTAATCATATATTGTACATGGCTTCTTAGGAATTAGTTTAAATTTGTTCTGCCATAAAAAACCAAAATAATACATAGCGTAAAGGTTATTTCATTAAATAGAAAAACACTTCAATTGGTCCCAGCACTCTCAATAAGAGCTCTAAAGACTTACTTTAAACGTTATTTTAAAGCTTGTAAGTGCCTTCAAATGTATGTGAAGTTTCATTAGTATCCTGTATTTAACAAATTATGATGATATTGAGTTCTTCACGAACACGGTCTTGATGCGCGCAGTGTTATTTGGCTACTGGATTAGATATATGAACTGAATGTTATGTCAATTATTAGTTGTTTAGTTCAGTTGTATATCAGTAAAACTTCAGCTCAGTACGTTGGATAATTATTGAGATAATACGATTAAAGTCATTAGGAAGTGAATGACCGTGGTAACCCGACCAAGTTTAGGTGGTTACGAAAAAGCGAAAACGCAGAACATTATACTATCTTTTGAAATGTTTAGGTATACTTCATCTAGACAACTAACTTTATAACTAGTATAACTAGCTTGGGTTGCAGATGCGTGGGTTAGGTATTGGCGCGAACGGATATGAAAGAAAACGAACGAACTTTGTAGTTATTATGAGTCTGTGTATTGGCGTCAGGACATTATTGATATTATACTTAACATACTATACAATACTACGACATAAAATACTAGAACAAAACACGATAACGGGAGCGAGCGAGAGCCGCGGTGGACGAAAGTAAAACGAATATGTTCCGTACTGCGGCGTCCGCGCGACTGTTCGAGTTCGCGCGCCTACGTGACCGGCGGCCGGCGCCGGAGCTCGGCGGAGCCCTGCGCGCGCAACGGCTTTTAACCGTGCGGCCGCGCACGTATATTGTATCCACTCCTTTAACCCACCTAACGACCGCGCACTACACTAGTAATTATTAAAATATTCCTATTAGAAAGAAAAAGGTCTGGCTGGGGTAACGTTACCCCAGCAGGAAATGTTTTTGTGAAATAATTAAAAAACTATAAGCGCAACAAATTTAAAAATGTGCGCAACAATTACAGAAGCTGTTAAACTATTTGTGGGGTAACGCAACACTTGTTTAAACACTACACGTAACATCCATTCAGCTCAGAAAACATTAACCCTTCGTGTGTCTAAATGTGGATCCACGCGAGACCATGTATTTTCTATTATGTCTCATATCGGTGCATTCAAGCGGTTAAAATTCCGATTGCCAAAACTTAAATTTGCTTTCAGAGTCAAACAAGGAAATCCTGGAAGCTTTAGCCAAGGTGATATGTAAACCTGACTGGTGCATCACTGCCGATGGCAAGGAGTTGCTGGCAGTGGAAGATGCGGGCATTCACATGTGTCTGAAGAAACTAGCGGCGCTCGACAAAGACAAGGACAGCGACACACTGGGTGAAGCTATTGCTGAAAACTTAGAAAATGAAACTGTAAGTGATAATATATAATTATTTTATAAAATACATTTAAAAGTCTTCAACCCCCTCATTTTTTAAGTCGGTTAAAAGCACAATAATTATTACACCTTTTCTGATGAGATACCATATTAAAGCTAGTTATTAATCAAACACCTCTCTCGTTCAGCGAATCGCGGAATAATCGCGCACCAACATACATACAGGTCGAACTGAGAACCTTTCTTTTTTTTAAGTTGGTTAAAAACAATAATTATTCCACTATTTCTGATGAGATACCATATTAAAGTTAGTTAATATACTAGAGAATGATCCTACAGCCGACAACTAAGTATGAATTTAACTTCCGAGTATGAAAGCTAAGTTATTAAATCTATAACATACTAGCTGCTGCCCGTCGCTTAACCCGCGCTCCCGCGGAATAAAAAGCACTCTGTGTTATTACAGACCATAATCTATACCTGTTCCAAATTTCAACCCAATTTCTTCAACTGTTTTTGACTTGATTGGGTAACAAACTTTCACATTAATATTATTAAGCAAGATACAACACATCAACCTAAGACATTCACTGACATTTCAGTTACTCATGTAACAATAAATGGACGGTCTTTTATTCATTCTATTTACTTTTTCCAGATCAAACTATGGCTCCCAACCAACAGAGGATGTTTCTTCCTTCTAAAATTAATAGAGAGCAATGAAAACGCAGCTAGTGCTCTAAAAAAGAAGATCAAATCTCACGTGAATATACTGAAACAGCAAACTTCAGAAGGTGCAAAGCATCTCTTACAAACTGTGCAGAAAAAATAAACACATTTAATTTTAATTGGTGTTTTTCTTTCTTTTCATTACACCTGTTATTGGGATGATGACAGGGTATGAAAATTAAAAATCTAATTAGTCAGTCAGTTAGGTAATGAAAAGATATTAGGCAGTTTTATTTTGTCGTATAAGCAAAAAATGCTTAGATAAAACGAATCAAAGTTTAGGAGTGGGCGGTAGCTACGTCATTTTAGAGTATAAATCGTGCTCAAAAGTGATGTCATGTGCTATTTCAAATCTATATCTTCAAAACTATTCGTTTCCGTAAGAAAATAAAAATACGTGTCTAATGTTTTAAAATAATCTACCAGACGGACATTAAAATAAAAATGTGTCATCTACCCTATTGTTCCTAGGACTAGGGGTAAGAGCCCACCCGCTGTCAGTTATAAGTCTATGGGGCCAATTTTTCAATGCTCAGTTTTAACTGAGAATGATGTCACGATTCGCACGTTGGCCGACTAGACGACGAAGAGTGAATTTGAAACAAGAAAGTTAAATTTTACCAGAGAAATAAATTTGAATATTTGACAATTCTTCAATACTTAATTTTATACGTGTGTGTTACCCAGGCCAGATGTTGTCGAAAATGGTCATTTGAATCTTATAGATAATTCGTAGAAGCCGTACTTCTATAATTGTTGCGCACATTTTTAAATGTGTTGCGCATAAGCGCAACTTTAAAAAACTATAAAGTTTTTTAATTATTTCACAAAAACATTTCCTGCTGGGGTAACGTTACCCCAACCAGACCTTTTTCTTTCTAATGGGAATATTTAATTAATTACTATCTATAAAATTACTTGTCAAAATGAAGTAAATGTTGTATATATCTATTTAATTAAATAAGCTTTAAGCTATGTATTATTTTGTTTTTTTTTATTGCAGAACAAATTTAAACTAATTCCTAAACAGCCATGTACAAAATATGATAAGAATCCGCTTAACCAGTTCAAAGATCTAGCAAAACCAAAAACATTACTCTAGCAAAATATCGAATAACTTCGCAACCGATGAAAGAATAAATACAAAACAAGGCATAACATTTACTTCATTTAGACAACTATTTTTATAGCTAGTAATTAATTAAATTTTCCCATAAAAAAGAAAAAGGTCTGGTTGGGGTAATGTTACCCCAGCAAGAAATGTTTTTGTGAAATAATCAAAAAACTATAAGCGCAACAAATAAAAAAATGTGCGAAACAATTACAAAAGCTGCAAAACTAATTATCTATAAGATTCAAATGATCATTTTCGACAACATCTGGCCTGGGTAAACCACACATTTTATATTACAGTTAAGAATGAATTGATCCTTAGCAGCAGTAAAAAACAAGTATCAAAAATAATCTTTTATTTTCTAAACCATTGATGACAGCACGCAACAATACAATGAATTGATTAAGAACAAAAATAACGTTTATTGAGTTTAACTCTTTAATGGTATAATTTATTCGAGCTATTAGTATTCTAATTTTATTAAAACATTATCTAAAACTTGTACTTCGAAACTTAAAATCATATTAGAGACCACTTGCGCAAATTCATCTAAATATTATTGCTACATTACATTTGATATTACAACGGCGCAACTATTTTTTACTCACCAGATAGAGCTAATATCATGAGGTCTGTTTGTCCAAAAAAATGTTTTACTTACTCTAGTCAAACCGTTGGACATTATTGATAAGGTACAGTGATTGGATTGGATAAACAGAGGCCTTAGTACGAGTTTAATTTACTTTTAAAGTATTTGAAATTTGAAACGAGTACGCGTTCAGCGCTCAGATTGGCCGGCGCCAATGAAGCAACCAATCAGAGCGCCGCACGTAAAACAAACTCGTACTAAGGCCTCAGGCATCATTAGCCTCATTTCCATTTAGTTAATAAAATATTACAGTTTCCTACAAATTAATATGCTGCTGTTAAAAGCGTACTTATTTCTATAGATATAAAATGAGCTTGTATCACGCTTGTACCCAGAGCTTCTCTATCTTTTTGTTTGACGCAAGATCTACGTCATTTAGGGTCTGTTGAAGCATTTCTTCTTGGATGGTATCAATCGATCTGAAAAAAAAATGTATATTATGATAAAAATTGGGACTTGTATTCCTTAGGCTGGTTTTATAGTCACGCGGCTGGGCATCGTGTGCTTGCAAAGCGGTGCTCTGTGAAACGAGATTAGTACCTGGTTTTATGGTTATAAAACCAGCGTTAATTCTTTAAAACATAAAAAGTGTGAATGTCTTTTCAAGTATTCAGCATCATAATGTCTATTTTTTTAATATAATATATACTTTGGACGTTGCAATGTAAGCCAATTGTGCAACACAGGTAGCATTGTTTAGCTACTGGGAATTGTGCTACTGTAATTCCCATTACTAGAACAATGCTTCAATTTACACCCCACACATTATATCTTACACATATACTTTAACTACACATTTCGTTCAACTACATAACATAACATCACGCCTTTTATCGGCGAAGGGGTGGATAGAGGTGCACTTAATGCCACTGTACAACATAACATCCACTTTTCTGCCAACGAAGCAATCATTTATTTACCTATTTTTGTGAAATAACTAACCTGCTAGCATCCACGATATGCCAGTTATCCTCTTTTAACTTTGTATATATTTCTGACACTTTCTGCTGGAAGTTTAGTACTTCGTACCTGCCAGAACATGAACAAATATTATTACTCATCTTATACACTTATCATTATCAACATCAACATACTTTATTTTTCTTAAACTCATGTCCTTCACATGCCATTACCAAATACAGAAATAACTAAAGGACATTTCAATAACATATACATTTAACATAACAACACTACTTGATATTTAAACAGTCTGAATTTAAATTATTGTAAACACAGATACTGCACATACTGCAGTGTAAATAAAATTTTAGAGAAAACAATCATTCTTGTTGTATGACGTCATGATATGCCATTTAAAAGGATTGTGGTTACTTTCATTTTTAATATTTATCTAATTGAAGTTGCAAACGAAGTATTTTTAACTAATATGTGATTGCATTATACATGTATATAAGCATAAAATACGGACTTGCTCGTAAATATGTTATTTTAGGAGTATATCACTTTTAGTTTGGTATAATATTTTGTTTTAAACAATAGCCCAAATAGATAAGACACTTCATGTCACTGACCTCTCGTTTCCAAATCCATTTCTTTGTTTGATAGAGTCTATAGGCATCGTGAGAAAGAACACCTTATCTGGCTTGGGTAGACCTACATCTGGGTGCTTGCACCAGTTTAAGTCTAAACCTGAAAATGACAAACATATTTTATTGACACTCTTAAAGGAATTGTAGTATAAATCTTGTGTTGCATTTTTTATCATATGTGTGTGTCTGAATGAGCTAAATTGAAATGAACCTGTACTAGGTTCATTTCTAGTATGAAGAATTCTTTATGTTCATGCTGCCCATGAATGTGAGCCTCTAGCATGGCTTGAAACTTCCTCATTCCTCGTCGGATACTTAAATGAGTAAGCCGTAAAACATGATAAATAATTATTCCTTGAACTTAAAAGTTGCGTGCACTATTCTAAATCTTATAACAAAATATAATGCTCATAGTACCTTTAGCAGCTGAGAATGCAACACCAGAATAACAATATCTATCTACAATTACTGTGACACCAGCCTCAAGTGTCTTTATTATATTTTTAGCCCTTTCCCATCGGTTAGCCGAGAACAACAAATGTATTACTTCATCTGATAACTCATTCTGAAAAATATAAAACTATGTTAATACAATAATTATGATAATACAAAAATTTCCCAATCTGGAAGGTAACATTGAAGAGGTTTACTCAGCAGAATGACTGACTTATGATGATAAATAAAAGTAATGTAATCAATCAATATATTGGATTATTTAGATACCATATCAGGATTCATTTTACACTTTGATAAATATGGTGATAACTACCTATAATATATCAGTATTATCTTGGAGATATACAATTAGAGGCCTATGAATTTCAGATGATTTACCTTCAGTTGCAAATAATTATTTATGATTTTTCCAACTTCTGTGTCCCTGGCTGGAAAATTTGTGTATTCTGCCTGGATGTTTTTCTTCTTAAGATTTTCCACTACAGGAAAAAGTTGGTATATTTAAATGATTGTATAATAAGATGTCTAGATAAGAGTATGTATAGCCAAAATGAAAAATGTATTAAAATTTATATATTTTATTTTATTAACCTTAGCTTTAATGCATTTTATTTTCTTATAGTATCATGAAAGTAAAATCCTGTAATAATACTACATTCAAGTCGGTAAGGTCATGACCAAGTAATCGCATTGGTAAACCGGTTTATAGGTAAAACTACATTACAATACTTTTAATAAATAAATTAATAAGTTACACATACCAAGCGTCTTGGCCTGTGTCGACTTCCCAGTTCTGTCGACACCCTCGATAACAATTAGCGCTCCACGTTTCATTTTCAGACTCTACTATATTTTCTTCCACCTATGAACAATACAAACACTTGTAGAACCTGTCGACTAGATGTTGACATGTGATAATATAGCCGGCCGCACTCTGCAGCAAGGTTGTCTGTTGGTCTGTTTACTGTTTGATTCACGCAATTTAAGAGCCGCAGTGGCCTGTAGATTTTTATGACCAATTAACGAAGAAACAATAAACCAATCACTAGGAAAATATAATGAAATAATACTAAAGTAAATAAGTACTATTTTATACCTACGTTTGAATGTTTTTGACATACAGTAGAGTCATAGACTAATTGGTTTTTGATAGCTCATGCTTATGTCATGTCATGTCATGACCGATACAAACAATACTTTAAAGCCCATAGACAAATTCCCTAGTAGAGGCCCCCAGCCAGGGCTATACTTATTATACTCTTTGCCCCCAGCTCTTTGGGGCCCAACGGTAGTAGGGGCCCTACTGTGATGTGATGACTACAACTTAATGACTTGTCATTTCGATATAACAAATCATTAACGATTGTGAACATGCCAACCCGCATTGAGCAAGTGAATTTCTTAATAGTCAAATCTTTGTCTTGTGAGAAGAGGCCTTTACTCAGCAGGGCACTCAAAGGCTATTGATGTGTGTGACGTGATCCTGGACATGTACTATTGATTCATTATTTTACAACACATTTTGTAACAATAGTTTTACTAAAAATCAATGTTTAAAACCAAAAATAACTGGTGAACAATTAGCAAACTACAAAAGCGCATACAAACTTTTAGTACATTATCAAAACATCACGCCATGTAATTTTCGAAGAGGTATGTCTCGTCGAGTGATACGTGCGATGTGTAGTGTTTTATGTGCGTATTTCCATAATGTAACATAATATCACGCCTTTTATCCCCGAAGGGGTAGGCAGAGGTGCACATTACGGCACATAATACCTATCATATACCTAATAATAAAGTGCGTAAATCCATATTTTTTTTAAATTAAAATAATGACTTTCGTGTAGGACCGTTTTGAGAGCACGCGCGGCGGATCGATCGACACGAACACTCGCTGCCTCTCGCGCGCTCCTGCGTCGACTCCCTGAAGTAACGGTCGTTCCGTCGTTCGGCACCGCGCCGCCGAATGTCATGGCGCGTTTTCTATATACTTCTGTCCCGCTCTTACGCCTCCAGTGCGTAGTCTCGGAAACGAGCGGGAATGCAGGCGTGGCGGCGTCCGGAAGCCCGTGGGCCAATTCGGCTTGCGACAGACTCCCCCTCTAGTTCTGGAGAGCGTCCTCGCTCCGGGACTAGGTCAGGGCCCTGGCATTTCGGACGTCCGCGACGTCGTTTGGGAAGAATAGGATTGGGTGGTACGTTACTATCTAGACCACTGTCCACGAATGGCGTCAAATCCTGAGTATGATATTTCCCGAGGGATTCAGTTGGATTCTCAATTGAAGAGATAATGTAGGTGGTAGGGCTAACCTTCTCGGTAATCACATATGGTCCATCACGCTTGGGAAAGAATTTGGCTGTCAGGCCCTTGCTTCCTTGACTCATGCATGAGTTCGGACTAGAACCTTATCCCCTACCTTGTAAGTTTGACTTGGCCGACGTGTTGGTCAGCGACCCTCTTGGATTGATCTTGCTGAACTTCAACTCTTTCACGAACCGCAGATAGATTAGAAATAAAGGTCCTTAAGTAAGGCGTAATTTGAGGCAGAAAGTTTTCTTTATCCAGGATGGCTCTCAAATCATGACGAGCTTCGGTGGGCGACCTCATTTCTCTGGCAAACATGAGATAAGCTGGAGTGACACCGGTGGTTCTGCAAACGGCGCTATTGAGAGCGAACCTAATCACCGGAAGCTTCGTTGGCCAGGAACCATGGTCATTCTCCACAAGTTGCGCCAGCTGCACCTTTAAATCACGGTTCTTACGTTCCGCAGGGTTTGCTTCTGGATGGTAGAGTGGTATGAGGTTCTGTTTAATCCCTAAAATAAACATACATTGTTGCATGACCGCTCCGACAAATTGTACGCCGTTATCGGATGTGACCCTGCGCGGCAAACCGTAACGAAGAAAATATTCTTCAGTAAGAATCGTGCGCAGGCTTCAGCAGTCGCCTCCTGAAGGGCGAAAAGTTCTACCCACCTTGTAGCGGTGTCTTCCACCAGAAGAATCCACCTCTCACCGTTTTCACCGTCGGGTAAGGGACCGAAAAGGTCTACCGCTACAACTTCATTTCGCTGCTGCATTACTGGCGTTTGGAGGAGTCCGGGAGGTTTATTATTTGAGGCTTTGTATCGCTGACAATGGACACAAGCTTCACATAGTCTGCAACTGCCCTTCTCATCCCTGGAAAATAGAAAGACTGAGCGATCTTAAGGTAAGTGCGATCGATTCCGGAATGTCCTGCTAAGGGAGAATCGTGACACTCCTTGAGGATATCAGGACGAAGTGACAGAGGAACGACGAGCTGAGGAGACTCACTGTTTGAATCAGGATTATACCGGTAAAGTACTCCTTGGGATAGCAGGTATCCACGTTCCGTCCATCTACGAGAGGCTACCTCGTCTGTGCTTTCCATTTCGGTAGTAATTTTCTCAACCTCCGGGTCGGCAAGTTGCTCCCGTCTCAATTCAGCGGGGCTCTTAGCGGGCAGATCGATGATCACTGAGCAAATGCCGCATAAGTCGCGAGTATCGGGTGAACATATGGGCCTACTCAATGTATCGGCCACTACATTCGCCTTTCCCGGGGTGTACTGATACTTAATATCAAAAGACTGAAGTTTAAGGGCCCATCTCACCAAACGCCCTGTAGGGGATTTAAGCGTCATCAGCCATCGAAGGGGCTGGTGGTCGCTACCTATAACAACGGGATGCCCGTCTAGGTAACATCGAAAACGCGCTACAGCCCAGACGACAGCTAATGCCTCTCGCTCAGTGGTTGAATAATTACGCTCAGCAGCATTTAAAAGGCGGCTGGCGTATTCAATGGGTCTTTCTTCCTTGTCCTCCCCCTGGAGTAAAACAGCTCCTAGCGCATAATTACTAGCGTCGGTGCGGAGGAAAAAAGGGCGTTTGAAATCCGCCTGAATCAAAACTGGCGCTGAAGTAAGAAGTCGCTTCAGCTCGTTGAACGCAGACGACTGAGCTGTAGCCCAGATCCAAGTCTGCTGCTTTCTAGTAAGTCTAGTAAGAGGCTCTGCTACTGACGAGAAATTCGGGATGAACTTGCGGAACCACGAGCAGGTCTGCAAGAAGGTCCGTAGGTGCTTTAAGTTATTGGGTTCAGGCATTTCGAGAACGGCGTTGACCTTGTTAGGGTCAGGCGAGATGCCTTGTTGTGTGATCACATGCCCTAAGTACTGGACACTTCCCCTGGCAAACACGCACTTATCTCGATTCACACGAAGCTTGAATTCTCGTAGTCGACTGAAAACCGAACGGAGATCCTCGAGATGCTGCTGGAAACCCTCAGATATGATGAGCAGGTCATCCAAATATGCGAGGATGGTGACGTTGGCTAGAGACGAGCATGAGCGCAGACGATCTATCAACCTTTGGAACGTCGCGGGAGCATTCTTCAGTCCAAAAGGCATACGCTTAAAGCGAAAGGTTCCCAGTGGGCTGATGAAAGCTGTCTTGTCCCTATCTTGCTCATTTACACTTACCTGCCAGTACCCTGACCTGAGGTCCAGAGTACTCATGTAGCAGTCCCTCTTCGTTGACTGTAACAAGTCATCAATCAACGGCATAGGGTAATTATCTGTTTTAGTCACTGCATTTAAGCGTCTATAATCAACGCAGAAACGTATGCTGCCGCTTGCCTTAGGGACCAGAAGAGCAGGGGAGCACCAGGCGGACTCACACTCCTCTATGATGTCGTCCTTGAGCATCTTCTCGATTTCTTGACCCATAAGTTCCTTCTTGGCAGGGGTCAATCGGTAAGGGGGTACCGCAATAGGAGGGTGCTCACCTGTGTCAATGCGGTGCTCAGCGTAAGGGGTAGGCTCCCCCCCTAGCTGGAAGATGTCCTCATTGTCAATCAAGGTCTGCTTTAACAAGTCCCGTTCCGGTGGATCTAAAACTGTACCTTCGTCTTCCCTTAGAACATCCGCTGAGGAACAAGCAAGTTCTGGTGACAAAGAAGGTTCAAAACGCATTGGGTACTCGACATGGCGAGTCTCAGAAAAGTACCAACATTTTCGAGGAAAATCCATGACTATGGCGGCTGCAAATAGGAAATCCATACCCAGCAGTGTTTCATTGTCTCGTGATTCAGGGAGAATAAGGAAAGGAGTCCGAATGACCTTCTCCTCTAAATACACGTCAAGGTCAGTCATCAAAACATCTACGTCGCGCGCGTGTCCATCGGCGAGTTTAATACGTCTTCGAGCCGGTTGAAGCGAATGACCCTTGCGACGTAGGAGGGTGTGTAGAGTGTGGCCCGCAATACAATGTTTGGCACCGGTGTCAACTAAAGCGGTTCCCGACGCGCCTAAGATTTTTATATCGAAAACCGGACGCGAAACTTTTTTAAGTTCGTGGTCGGTGCTATCACCGGCGCGCGTGCTCTCTACACTATAAGTGTCACTACACATACACACCTTAGAATTAATAAAACTATCCTTAGAATTAATATGTGGACAATAAAAATCACTTTCTATAAAATTACAAAAAATATGGTTACTCCGTTTTACATTGCGAGAGTTATTATTAAAAACATTCTGAAAAGTACCAAAATCGCTTTTACGCCGTTGTGCATCACGAGCGTCACAGGAACATACAGTATTATTTGGTACCAAAGTACATAATTGGTGTTTGCACCCTAATTTATTATGAGCGTTATCAAAACAAACATGGTTATTATTATAACGAGAATAGGTACAAACATTATTTTTATTAACTTTACAATCCGGAATTACAGCTTCAGAATCCGGAATAAAGGTATTATTACGTTGAGACATTTGTATTGGATCAGAAACACATCGAGGATTAATACTATAAAAACTTTGTTCGTTATTGCACTTTTTACAATTATCACGAGTTACGTCTTTTGTTCCGCACTTATAACACGACACAGAGTTTTTAAAATGAGCAGCTGACTCACCTGTGGCCGTGTCAGATAACTTACGGCACTGTTCACGTTGGTGACCGTAGTTCTTGCAGTACACGCAGAACGGCCGCGTTGGCGGTCGCGAAGGCGCCGATGTCGTTTTCGCGGGAACTCGCTCGGGCGGGCCGCGCGTATCTTGCGGCGCCTGCGGCCGCTCGTCGTGCGGGCAAGCGCGCGCGGGAACGGGGCGCGCGCGCGCTTGAGGCGGGGCTGCATTGCCACCGCTGCGTCGCGCGATGGGTGCTCCGTACGGGTCCGCGCGTATTGTGGGCTTTGTGGAGTCAAGCGATTCCTTTTTTGTTGCCTCGGCGATGGTTTCCTCAATCAGTCTCGATTTATGTAGTAGTTCTGAGAAGTTATTGAATTCTTCGCGACGTAAACGCTTTCGTATTTTGCGATGAATCAGGCCGTAAACCATATCGAGCTGCACCTTCAATGATAGGTCGCCCGGTGGTAGGCGAGTTAAAAGCGCTCGGCTCTGCGCCACGAAAATGTCCGTGCGAACATTATCGGCCTGTTCGACTCTAAATAACTCTCTATATATTTTGTGTTCGGGGCGGCGATCTCCGTATGCGTCGCGAAGGTACTTGATAACGTCCTCCCACGACGAGACTTCCGAACGGATGCTCTGCTACCAGGTTGCCGCTTCTTTCATCAGCAACATGGACATGCCTTTTATGGCCACGTCATCACAAATATTCGTGCACTCCTTATATGCTTCAATGGCATCGATGAAAGTGTCAACATTTTCTTCTGCCAAACCTGAGAACCTGGACGAGCATCGTGCGAAGTTGCCGGTTTTCTCTGCCGCGCTCGGCGTAGGCGCCGGTGACTGAGCGGCCGGAGAGAACGCCGTCGTAGACAGGCGCTGCAGCATGCGCTCGCAGACCTCCGCATTGGACTGCTGGATTGTTGACAGCAGTGCGGTGAAGTTGTCGCGAGACATCGTGATGCTGTCGTTCAGCTCTTCATCGTGCGAGCCATTGAGCGATTGTTGTCTGCGTGTTCGCGGCATTTTCACAACGCGGTACACAAACACGAAACTTACACACGAGTTTATATAACACAGTCACACTATAGGCACTGAGTTTATTAGTTCTCCATGCTGTAACATGAGGCCCTCACGTTGGGACGCCAGTTTTCGTGTAGGACCGTTTTGAGAGCACGCGCGGCGGATCGATCGACACGAACACTCGCTGCCTCTCGCGCGCTCCTGCGTCGACTCCCTGAAGTAACGGTCGTTCCGTCGTTCGGCACCGCGCCGCCGAATGTCATGGCGCGTTTTCTATATACTTCTGTCCCGCTCTTACGCCTCCAGTGCGTAGTCTCGGAAACGAGCGGGAATGCAGGCGTGGCGGCGTCCGGAAGCCCGTGGGCCAATTCGGCTTGCGACATGACATCTTTATTTTTTGTTTTTACTTTATGCATTGATAGTACTCCTTGGCTTATGGCAAGTTGTTTTGCGGCGGGGTGAAAATGAAATAGATTTTACAGTGTATTATATTACAGATGAAGAAGAAGACGAAGATGTAAGGGTCGGTGTCCCTGTGATTTAGTAGATGTAACGATTATAATGAGGGCCAGAGCCCAGAACAGTCAAAATAGTCACAGTTACAGTTAGACTAGCGGTTAATATATAAACTCTGCTTACCCCTTAAAAAACTAAGATGCGTGATGTTATAGGTATATACATGTAGGTCATTGTAGGTATACCTATTGGGTTATGAACTTGACTGTCATCAGTACATTTAATCAGACAGAGAACGCGAACTCGACACAAAAATGAAAAATACTTTTAAGTAAAATGTTTGACGATGTCATCATTTTCGTAATCTCATTACTGAAATCTGCACACTGTTCGACAAAATAAAGTAAAACGACTGGCTGGCTTCAAATGGTAATTGAGAGGAACGGAAAGGACGTTTGGGAGGATTCAAGTAGGATGAGGAAGTAGTGGGGTGAGAGGGTGGGGGACAAACCTCACCCTCCCCGGTCCTAACCCTAACCTCTCTGAACACAGGAGGGAGTTCTTGAATCTGAGTTGCTAGTATAATGTTTAGACCATTTCTTTGAGGTAGTTGTAGGTATATTGTACAACTCGAAATAAGATACATAATTTTAAAAATTATAACTACAACTGTATATATTACGGAAATAATATTAAGGTTGTGGTTTTTGACCCTAAAATCATATAGTTTAATCGAAGTATTTATACAGTAATTTGGATTGAATTTACATTTGAGCAGAAACCCTTTATAAATCTCAGAAACATAAAGTAAGCTGATAAATGAAAAAGGATGTAATTTAGGGAAAAATATATTGGAACTGTTCTGCTTGTGCCTGGCAACCTTCTTATCAAATGTCATTACTGTCATAAGTCATTTTAGAATCAAACTGCGCTTCAATCTACCGCGTCCAGTTGTAGGATTTCTTTGTTTTTATTTTTCTAAATAAATGTAACAAAACTGTGCAGTAATTTATTTTCGTCATGAAGAAAGGATACAAAGTAACCGATGTTAAAAGGGAGAAAAAAATAGGTGTAGCTGCTGAAAATGTGGAGGAGTTGATCTCGAAATCATGTAAAAAGTTAGGGGTAAGTGGAAATTACTTGTTTATGAATAATTAAAATGATTGTAACGTTGATACATAGAGGATTTGTTGTCTTTGAAGGCTAGTTTAAGTCATGATTAGGTGTGTTTATCGTTAGAATAAATGGGTCAGGGTGAAGCCTTGACCGATATTTCTCTACCTTGACCTAATTCCGCGGCTCGGGATTTTCAGTTCAATGTCAGCTGCGCGGATTGCCGGCTCTTCGTCGCGGAGGACGGGACGCAAGTGGATGATGACGACTATTTGGCTACACTGCCTCCACAAACACTCTTTATATTATTGAAAAATACTGAAAATATGGTTACTGGTATGCCTAGATTATATATTTTAGCTAAATTTCAGTTTAGTAGATATAGTCTACAGAGTAATGACTGACACTGAGATACCTCTAAACTAAATAAAAGAATTTCATGAATTTTTTATTCTGTTGTGTAATTAGGTATTTACTACTTAGTTTTGTGACCACTGTGTGTTGTGCTCTTATGCTTACTTGGTCAAGAAAGGAATAGATTATCCGAATTTCTATTATTAATGGATTTAATTACTCACTCGCACTTACTTTGACCAATTAGACTCTAATTAATATTCAGTGTGACATTTTTTTTAAATAATTAATTAAACCAACTAAAAACTGAAGGGACCTTTAATCACTTTCCAGACTTTGACTACTACTATGAAATGATCCGGTCGCAGAAAAAAGAGTACATTGACACAGGGGCTGCAGCCAAGGAGTTCCTCAGCACTAACCTCAAGGAGAAGTTCAAGGTGTTCCAGAAGTACATTGCAGCTGGTGATGATGCTAAGACTATGCTCAGTGAGAGGGCACAGGATCCTGGTTGGTTTGAAGGTGAGATTAACTATTATAATATGATGGATTGTGATACACATGACGATACACAGTACAGTTTTGTGTATAGATAGTTATGTTTATTACATATGTCACCATTTATGTTAGATGCACATAAGGACTGTACATTATAATACTCAAGCTAGTAACCACTGCACTAAGAAGCCAGTGTAATCTGTTTAATCTCTTGAATTTTCTGAGAGCTCAAATGGGGATGATGATAGGGTATGAAAATTAAAAATATAATTAGTCCGTAAGTTAGGTAATGAAAAAATATTATACACGTATTTTTTTATTTTGTCGTATAATAAAACAATACTTAGATAAAACGAATCAAAGTTTAGGAGTGGGGGCTAAAACGTCATTTCTTAGTATAAAATGTACTGAGAAGTGACGTCACGCGACATTTCAAATCAATATATCTTCGAAACTATTCGTTTCTGTGAGAAAATAAAAAATACGTGTCTAATGTTTTTAAATAATCTATCACACGGACATTAAAATAAAAATTAGTCGTCTACCCTATTATAACTAAATTAAATTTTCACACATTTTCAGGATTAGAGCCATCAGAGAAAACTAAAGAGCAGTCGATGGCGAAACGTGTTAAGGAAAGGATGCGTGGTTACTATTACAAGACCAAGACAGCTCTACAGTCATCTGACATCTACATACACTCAAGAAACGGACGAGGTAAGAAACTCATTGACCAGTTCCTAACTGATCTGCGCAACATACTTGACTCCCACAAGTACAATGAGACATACTTCAACCGCAAAGCCAATAAAACCGCTCGTATATGCGACGAACGAGGTGTCTTCCAATGTGGCGGTCTCTGGAGCGCGGACAAGTGTCTCTATGAAGGCGAACACGTCATCAACCCATACCGGAGCCGCGAAGAACGCATCATATTCCAAACCTGGAATCTCGACCATAAAATTGAGCTCTCAAGATCTATAATTCCGAAAATTTTACAAGCAATTGATGGGTTGTATAGCGGTGATATTAAGTGTATGCTATGTGATAAAGGTTCTAAAGTGGGTGGGATTGAAGCTGATAGGTATTTCCTACAAATATTCACGCGGGAGAATCTCAAGCTGGTGCACATCGTGTGCCACTATAAGGGGAAGCATGATGCAGAGTCTGGTGTGTATACACTCTGTAAGAAATGCTATGGAGGCCAAAGCATTGATTATAATTAAATGCCAAAATTTTAGGGTTTTAGCATTTTTTGTAGAACTGCAACACTGGTTTGTTAGTTTCAAGGATATTGAATCTGGATTTGATTTGAATAATCATCATAATTATTATTGTATACTTTATGTTGAGTTTACATGTTATTTTTTATTTTTAAGGAGTTTATTGCAATCAGAGTTAAACTTTTAGGATGTAAAACATTAATATTTAAGACATGCTTCCATGATTCCACATGCATTATAGCCAAATGGACAATGGGCTAAGAACTTAAATATTTATTTCTTAAAAACCTTATAGAAAATCATGAATTGAATATGTAATTATTATAGAAATATATTTAGCATTGAAACGGCTATGTTCACTAGATTTCATGTAGTCTTTGTATAAATTGTTGTTCCTTTTATAAACAATTTAAAACTTTTTATTGTTAATATTTGCCCAGAGTAGGCGTTTCTATTCCTTCAATTGATCTCCTTGCCCTTCATGACATATTATAAGTGTTATACACCTTTAATAAAATAATTATTGAATTTATTTTAAACCAAAAATTTAACCTTATGGGTTTTGCTTACAGTATAGGTTTGTTTAAAAGAGCTTAGGTGTGTGAAACATTCTGTAGTTTTAATTTTACTTGGTTTAATAAATTTATTGTTTAGCAATTGATTAAGTACAATTTTTAGTTTTATCGAAATTTAGATTATTATTTATATATTATATTACATTATGTTTTACAGATCTTGTAAAAGCAGGGTTAATTTTTTTGAACTATCTTATACAGTTTTTTTTTATTTAAATTATTTTTCTACTGGATTATTGACATAGAACCTCATTATAAATACAATACAGGGTTGTTAGATAGCCATAAACAATATTTTGTGAAAAGAAATAAAATACAGATGCGTCCCTTTGTGACACGATAATAAAAAAATTTAAACTAAATCTTTGGCTTGAACATAAATAAAATGGAAACTATAAAAAACAAAGCATTTAAACATTCTTCTTGATTAGTTTTTCGCGGCATTTTTCTTCAACTTAGCCGTAACGTCACTTAATGACGTATGCGGGGGTTGCTGTCTCTAAAAATGTAAACTCCCCATAAAGACGGTTTGGAAAAAGATTTTTTTAAATGTTATCTAAGAAAGCTGAAAAGTTTATATAAGGCAAAGCAAAATTCGTTTTTAAAACGGCTAATGTTATCTAGATCAGTTTTCTTTTGTGGGGTCCAGTTTAGGACGGAAATGTGATCTGTCTGAATTAACTGGTCTAGAATGAAGTTGTCTGTTGCAACCGACAGATGGTGCTAAAAGAGTATTGACCGTTGCTTTGTCGGTAGCCAAATTATGTAAAAAAGTTATTGTTTATTATTGACTGATTCGGTACATGGTACCATACTATCGAATTTTTTAGAGCATTTTTGTATTGCTTCAATTAATTATTATTGCTTAAAAATTGTTGATGATTTTTTGTATTATTTTGGATTTCAATATAATTGTAATCTTAGATAGGATTTATGAAATGGTATGAGGGATCTTTCCACTGTGTTATAACAGAACTATGAGTAAGATTATCTCTTGATCAATGCTACACGAAATTGAACTTAATAGTTCACTTGGGAAGTACGTTATTCCCTGTATCGTAGAACAATTTTAGCTTTTTGTATCAGTTCAAAAGTCAGTGGAAAGGTCTCTCAAGGTTGTGTAAAGAGTACTGTGTCGAATTTTCTTGATAATTTATTGTAATTACTGTCTTCTTTATTATTGAGACAGCTCTCTAACTTTCCTATTCTATCTTAAGCTAAACATATTTTTCCATTATTCTACTCTATGCTAAACTACAGTCAACTACACAATCGTCGAAGTAATGTTTGATAATTGTGTAGCGGACATGTTTAATGAATAAGTATAATAATTATATCAGAAATCCTATTTTGTGACAATCGTTTACCAACTTGTTTAGGTAGATATTAGTGGATAGCGATGAATAGCAATATTAATGTGTAAGAAGTAGTGTCGTATTGATTTGAGATGGGTAATAAAGAATGTACCGAAACTAATTTTAATTACAAGAAAACTTACAAAGGTACTGTTTTATGTGGATGTTTCTAATATATATATTGAAATGTAAAAATTAAAATGCCTCGTGGGTAACGTTGCAAGTGCGACTGCCGGGCAAGGAGTCTCGGGTTTGATTCCTCGGTCGAGAAAACATTACTGGGTTTTTAAAAAAAAATCTCAATTTTGCCCCGTATATGGCAATAGGCTCACCCCCTATTACATGGGACTCATAACATAAATAGTGAAAAGTGGGTGTTATATTGTACAGTGGCATTAAGTGCCGTAATCTGCACTTTGCCTATCCCTTTGGGGATAAAAGGCGTAATGTTATGTTATGTAAAAATTAGACTCCTACTGCTGAAAATAATAACTGCGAAGAATTAATAGCTATATTTTCCTTTTTTATGCCAAAGTCTGTTATCCATCTTCAAATCAATGTGGTGTAGTGTAGAAAAATATATTAAAATTAGTAATAGTGTAAAGCTTACTTCATACAGCTTATACAAACATGGCCATTGGTTGTGACGCAAGATTTTTAGAATACCTTAAGAGTTCCCGAGTAGCCTTATTGCTGCTAGGGAGACCAAGGCGCTTCAATTTAAGAGCTTTAATATACATATACAGCCTTTTTAGGGAACAGAGAGTATAGTTCCCTAAGATCGGAAAAGGAGGATCCTCCGACCAGGCGAGGTGATCGTGCCTGGCGGGCTTTCTGCCCTACAGTTGTTCGTTGGGATTTTCTATCCGTGTTTATTCGCTTGTAAACTTTGCATGTGCGATGTAGGATTCTTGTGACGTCATCCGTTGACATGTGGCGTGCGTCGCCACATCACTCCCTCCCAAGACCGGAGGTCGATCCCGCTGAGATGGCTGTCGATGCTGGAGATGAGCGGTGCCAGAGCCAGTGTAGAAAGTCCCTAGTTCCAGTGAGTCGGAACTGTGCCGCTGAGTGCCCAGTGAGTCGGGTGAGCGGTGCAGGGCGATACTCCAGTGAGTCGGAGAGATGAGTTCGCAGTGTCCCACGGTGAGTCGGGGAAGAGATGCTGCGAGGGTAGGTGCGTAGTGGCTGGCGTCTGCGTTGACGGGAGAAGATGTCCTTCAGAACCGTGTGCAGAAGTGCTGTGCCTAGACGCTGGCGAGGCCGTAGGGAAGAACCAGGCTGCACAACTTCGTTGCAAGCGATGGTGGTCCCTGATGAGGCCGAGGATGCTGGTTGGCTGCGACTTGATTACCGCTCAGCGGAGAAATGATGAATGAGAGGGATGGCGATACGGATGACGGTGCTAATCTGCTCCGTTAAGTGAAGGTTGCTTCCAATCACGTCGGGGTCACCACTTTAGGGAACAGAGAGTATAGTTCCCTAAGATCGGAAAAGGAGGATCCTCCGACCAGGCGAGGTGATCGTGCCTGGCGGGCTTTCTGCCCTACAGTTGTTCGTTGGGATTTTCTATCCGTGTTTATTCGCTTGTAAACTTTGCATGTGCGATGTAGGATTCTTGTGACGTCATCCGTTGACATGTGGCGTGCGTCGCCACACCTTCATACTCTTGTCGTTGCAACCATTAAAATATCAGCTAGAATGGGAACAAAGTTGTACCTTGAGAAAATGTTAAAGGAACTTAAAATGTATTGTATAATACTCAACTGTAGAAGTCTATATTTATGGCAATAAGGGATTATTCTCACTAGGTGGCGCGGTCCGTATGCTACGCCAGCGCCTCTAGTGATGCGAAAACCTTCACTGCCCTAGTAAACTTTTTAATCGAATATCAACTAAATTTTATTGTAATAAAGTAGAAAATCCATTGACAGAGAAATCTATGAACCAAATAAAGGCGAATTATGTATGAATACTGGCTGTATAAAGTAAGTGTTTACACTAGTAGAAGCTTCCATATATTAGCTTAATAATATATTAGATTGTTGTTTGCGTAGCATAGCGTTGTGTAGGATTCTTGATATACAGTATTAATTGATATACCTTCTCCTTTGCCTAAGTAGTGTAATGTAGCATTGTAAGGAAGATATCATTATATTTAAATACATAGCACACTGGTACAAAACATGTAGGTATACTGCACATGTTGATATTAGAACCTGTCATAGATTTATTATCTTTGTTTTTGTTGCCCTTTATGGGTATTAAATAGGATTGATTATATGTATTATGTAGCAAAATATATTTGTTTAGAATTGATTCAGTGTTGTTTGTACAGAAAAATAGAGTTTTAGTCCTACTTTAGAAAATTCCATAATTTGTTTTAATAATGTAAACCAGGGCTGTCCAAACAAAGGCCCGCGGGCCGCATGCGGCCCGGCTTGTTTTCATGTGGCCCACGACACACATTTTATCTCAACAGTGTATGGATTTGTATGCAAGTTTTGTCTATGAGTAAATCGTTTAAATATTTCCACTTGTTATACAACTGAAAATATTTTTCTGGCCTTCCAGCTTTTGGTAAGAGATTTAACTAGCCCGCGAGGGTGTATTGCTTGGACAGCCCTGATGTAGACTAAAATAAATTAAGTGAATAGCACTACTGAATGTATAAATACCCTAGTGTAAACTCACATAGAAGCTATGGAAATGTCTGTCCATTACCAAAAATGAATGTTTTATTTTTTGGATGAATTTTCGCCACTACATACATACATAACAAAACCAAGTAGTTTTTGTAAGTATAATCTTTTATGTTTGTTCATAGCATTTACATGTGCAGTTGTAGTCAAAGTTTGTAAGTAGATTGTCTATAAACCTGTAAACTACATAGTATCCGAAATGAATTGTAAAAAAAAATACTAGTCTATGAATTTTGTTGAAAGAAATAAAATCATGTAAAAAGGTTTGCATTACTTTTATTAAATACAATTTAACACCTCATCATTATTGTAATAAAAATAATTTTACACGAAAAGGCGGGAACACGCATGTTCACTGTATCTTGTGTCTATATACATTTTAAGTTCGAAAATTAGTCTAGTCTAAGTGGTTTACAAAAGAACCTGTTTGAACAATAAGTAAGAAATAATAAACATAGACAAATATGCTTTGCCACAAAATTACATTATGGAAATTATTTTACAGATAACACAAGATAGCATAACGTATGCTTAATGAGCTCTTAAAAATAAAAGTCTATATAGTCTGTCACAATTTTTTAAACATGGAACACTTATCTTCTCTTCCGGCCTCCTGCCTTTTTAGCTGGATTCCTCTGTCCTTTACCGGCCTTAGGTTTCTTTGCTGTAAAGTTTGTAGGATTACCACCCTTGGTCTTTGCTTTGAAGTTACGTTTCCCTTTAGCTGGTTTCGTGTTTTTCTTTTCCTCCGAACGACTGAAAATAAATTATTATTATTAGTCTTGACATTTTTTATTTAATGCAAGCACTGTAAATTGTCCTGATACTGATTTAAAATAATTGTGACACTCAGCAGAGATAGAAGGGAAACAGTCACAATCACAACGCTAGAAAACCAATTACAGAAACTGACCATAGTTTAATTATATAATTTTTACATTTGAGTGAGTGTGATTCTTAAAGGTGATATATAAGTTGTCACATCACATTACATATCCCAAAATAGAGTATTACAGTGAAACTATGGGACAGTCAGCAATAAAAAAAATTATATCACTCACTTCACTTGTTCATCATGGATGTGTTTAGCTACAGCCTTGTCCATGTCAATCTTGGGCCTCTTATTGAGAATGTTATCAAGCATATTCAAATTATTCTCCCTCTCTTGTGCGGGTGTGGGTATGGGCAGTTTGCGTTTCCTCTCCTTGCCTGGGATGAGCTCATGAATACCTTTGCCTCTAGGTTCTTTTTCTTTAGGCAACTTATCTTGGAACTTGCCAAGTGATGCTGTGGAGGCCTTTGCTATTGTTGCTGCCGTGTCCAACTGTAAATTTAATATAAAGATATTTAACTTGCTGCCATTTCATTAAATGCAGATTCTGGTTAGATTGAAAATTGAACCCTTAGCTAGTGGACTAAAAATATTGGTGTGAGTTCTGATGTTTTGCATTACATTACCTTATTGATTTTTTTTAAGTAGAATATATACTAATTATTTATCTCACCTGTAATGCAGAAGCTTTGTCAGAAGTAACAGGTAGACCGACTCTAGGTATCTTGACTTTCCTAGCCCGGGCAATGTTCTTCAGCCTCTGCAACTCATTCTTGGCAACTTTCTCTGATTTCTCCGAAGCTTTCTTCTCAAACATGTCTGTCATGGGATCCAAATTCTGTGGCACCTCTATTAACCAATTCTTCTCCTTCTCTGCAGCAGCTTTCTTGAAACTGTAACAAGAGAATGAATAATTAGTTCTGTATTTATTTTATTTCTCAATGCAAAATTACAACAATAACTACCACAATTATTAGACTGCTAAATCTATAAAAAAGTATTAATAATTACATGATGTAAGAAACAACATCATTTAAGTACTTTTCTGTTTCTGATAATGTTTACTTACCCATACAAAGGTACCCATTTCTGCAGTTGTTCATCCCATTGTAGTTTATCCTTCTTCTTCTTTGTGATACCTTTAGACTTGGCAAACTCTTGCCATTTCGTGAGGGGCTTCGGTTTAGGACAGGGTTTAGCCCTAGGCAGCACTGTCTTAGGTTCAGGTAACTTAACCACTATTGCCTCATCCACCCGCTCTGTAGGAAGGTCCCATATTTTGTTTAGTAGTAACTGTGTGTTGTCACGCGTCAATGATTGCAAGTAATCATCTTTATTTGACCTGAAAAATAACGTGGTTAACATGAAATGTGGTCATAATTATTTTTTAACGCAATTCAACAATTGTGTCATATGCAGCCTACGTATCTTAAGTATTCGTGTTCGTAATTTTGACGAAAACTAAATAACTTTGACGAGTTTAAATAAGAAAAATAACTTACTGTAATAATTTTGTATCCAAATCATTTGTGTCCGAAGCTAGTAATGTGCCTATATCAAGTTCTACTTCCAAATGTTTTTCTACAGTAATAGGTTTGTACTTCTCAGATTTCTTCTGTTCTTTTTCTAATATCTCATTAACAATATCCATTTTAATTATTTAAAAATAACACACTTCAACACATGAGTAACCTCAAACTTATTTTGACGTTTGTATTTCATTCGCTGGTGCAATCCACGTGCGAATGTAATTTTTAGAATCTTGTCTTTGAAGACAAAAAATATTCGAGAAGTTATAACAATTTTCGACCCTAAAACTTCTTAGGTATATAACTTGGAGATTTTATATATAAAGTTTCTATTTACTATTGAATAATCCATTTACAAATACGAAACTGTATTTCAGTTGTCTTTTAAAATTAGGTAAAAATCAGCGAAGGACTAATCGCTTGACCGTGTATTCATAAACATTAAGCAATGTGTGTCTATGGATGACGTCAAAATGACAAATTGTTTTGACACTGGCAATCTCAGTCTCAGTCAGTTCGATTCGTTATTGTCATTCATCAAACTTCAAAGTCCTCGAAAATTGATGAAAATATTATTCTTTGATAATATCGCTTATCTTCCTTTTTTCTGTATCAAATAACGTAATTTGCGTATGAAAAAAAAATCTTAGAGGAAAGAAGTAGCACGAGCCATCATGACTGGGGATTCCGAAAAAACTTACCGTTTCAAAACAGAAAATAAATTTCTCGTCAAAAGTGGTTGTAAAAAACGTATGTGGCGATCGCTGAAACAAATATTAACGGCTGACAGGACACTCCCGTGGCACAACGATGCTGTTTTATGTAAGAATGGCTTTTATCATTAAAAACAGCTCTAATTCTACAAAGTCCAAGTCTGTGTTTCCTGGAGGGTATAACCTGTGTATTTACGGCCCGAGTGAATAGGATGCTTACGCGTCGACGTGCTCCATCGTAGATCGCATCAACCAGGCGAGATACGTCAAACGTCGTCCCATCAAATATATTTATATAAAAAAATATGTCAATTAGGTATTGGATGTTTCACTTACATTGATGTTAAATACATACAAATACATTCTTATTGTTACAGATTACTCCATTAACGCTCCACCTACATTTAAACCGACCAAGAAATATTCAGATATATCTGGGCTCCCTGCTCCATATATGGACCGTCATTCTAAGCTATTCTACAGCAATGCGGAAGAATTTGCAACAGTCAGGAGTTTACCAATGGATATTACAGCCGGATACTTACAACTGAGAGGGGCTAATACCATTGTAGGATGAACATTCTGAAACATTGTTCAGAGTTTACATTTTACCAATCAGGTTTTATACCAATGAGCTATGTCCATACATGTGATACGGCTTGTAAAGTACTACATCAGTCTGTCTGATCAATTGGTATTGAAAATATAAAGAAATTATTTGATTCATTTGATTGTTTAATTTATTAAATATTATCTTGTCAGAGACTTTGATGAATGTAACGAATTCTAGACATTCCACACTATGTTATAATTTGTTTAACTCGTCGAGTACCGGTTTTATAGACACAATTAAAGAACAATAGGTCGCGGTCACCGGTGACCGCTTGGTGTTTGACAGATTAATATTTGGGTGCAGATGTAATTTTATGTGCAATATACTATTAGACAGACATAGGTATTCTCATTATCTCATTTGATGGCACTATAACAGGTTTCAGTAGAAAAAAAAACAAAAAACATATTTAATAACATTGTGTACCTACATAATTTGTTTTTTAAACTGTCAAACACCGTGAGGACACCGGTGACCGCAACCTATTGTTCTTTAATTGTGTCTATAATGACGGTATCCCCTATACTTAATATACTCTTTGATGACGGTACTCAGCAATTATAATATTTCATTAAACTTACAAGGAATCAAAATAAACTAACTAAATTAAAAAAAAAGATAAACTAAATAATAAATACCTTGGCTAAAATAAATAAAAACTAACATATTTACAAATATAGAAAAAAAAACAATATTTCATCAAAGCTAAATTATTAAAATTTATTAATTATTTTTAGAAAAAGAATTATTTAAAATAATAATTTATCTATGCCTTTACGAATTTTTTGGTCGGTCTATGGTCATTCGGTTCGGTCTTGTTTTGTCAGTGACAGATCACAGACGTGACGGCACCGACTGTTACTGGCAGTGTCAAAATAAATCCAACGTGCGTGTATCGCATGGCTTTTCTAAAACTATTTTACAAAGTTTTTCATATTTTTGTGATAAAGTTATTACTTTAAGTTAAAAAATGTCTTCGTCTTTCTTTTTGAAAGGCAAGTCCAGGAAAGTTCAGAAACGGAAAGGAGAGAAAATCAAGAAAAAGAATCCTAAAAAGCCTAACGCGCCTAACCTAGAAAATGGGCAGGAATCCTCGGACAGTGAATTGGATATACGAAAGTTTTCTGATGCAGAAGAGTCTGAAAGTGATCATGAAACTGCTGAGCAAAAGAAGTTACGTCTAGCTAAGAAGTACTTGGAGGAAATTGAAAAAGAGGAAGCGAAGAGAGCAGAGCTCAAAGAAGTAGATGATGCGGTTGAGAACCGTCTTAAAAAAGACTATTTGGAACAGAAAGGTAAATTAAAAATAGAGATAGCTGACAAGTATATAGAACCAGGTGAAAGTGACCTAAGGCTTATTCGTGCTAAAGAACATCGTCTAACATTGACCTGTGTGTGTATCAGCAGTGACAATAGTTACGCCTTCACTGGTAGCAAATGTGGTTCTATTATCAAATGGGGTATCAATGAGAAACGGAAAATGGGCAGTCTAACTTTCAAAACTCATTCCAAGTTTATTAAAGGTATGGTAAAGTCTTTGACAATATCAACAGATAGCAAATACTTGGTTTCATCGGACGAGTCTCCGTACATACAAGTATGGGATCCAAGCACACTCAAGCATATCTACACATTCAAGGGCCACAAAGATGAAGTAACAGGACTAGTGTTTAGGAAAAATACACATGATTTGTATTCAGCCAGTAAAGATAGATCAGTTAAAATCTGGTCATTAGACGAGATGGCTTATGTGGAAACTTTGTTTGGACACCAGTCACCCATCACTTCAATTGATGCACTAACCAGAGAGAGGGCAATAACAGCAGGAGGAAGAGACACCTCAGTTCGGATATGGAAGATTGCTGAGGAGTCACAGTTGATATACAATGGTCCAGTGGGCAGTCTGGATGAAGTAAAGCTATTAGATGAAGAGCATTTTGTATCTGGAAGTGATAATGGTTCATTATGTGTATGGAGTGTGCTTAAAAAGAAACCCCTGTGCACAGTACCAGAAGCTCACGGTTCTGAAAATGAAGTACCAAGGTGGATCACAAGTTTGGCAACTTTACTGAACTCTGATGTGTTTGCGTCAGGGTCTTATGATCTTAATATTAGGCTATGGAAAGTATCTGACCAATATAGGAAGGTGACACCTATGTTTAGTGTACAAGTCAGTGGTTTTGTAAATTCTATGCAGTTTACAAGTGACGGTAAACAGTTGCATGTTGCTGTAGGACAAGAACATAAGGCAGGCCGATGGTTCAAATTAGGAAGTGCCAAAAATGGACTATTAGTTGTTAATTTTACTATTAAGTAACAATATATTTTATTGAAATAAACAAATTATTTTTATTTCCATGTTTCCACCGTGTATTACTTATTTTATGCAAATATCTGTTTCTTGCGCTATGTAATACGAAATTATCCTTTAGTAATTAAAAGAGAATGTACCTACTTCTGATAGTTTAGTTTCATACAGTATAAAGTCATCATTTTGAGCACCTATGATAAAACTCTTGAATGTAGCTGGATAGTAAGCTTAACATCCACTTTGTAAAGAACAATGGGCAAATTCTATACAAGAAAAAACACCCACTACCAACACAAACCAAAACCTAGCTCATATTGCTGCACATGTCGACCTCATATCCTACATTAATTGTTTGTTTAGTTTCACTGGAGGATCAGAGAAATACCATAAAATGGTTTTATTTGACCTATAACGGTAGTTAAAGAACTACCAAATTAGTGGTCAAAACATTATTTACATCCCTATTACTTCAACTAACTTACAAGATAGGCAGGATATAAAACTGCCACCCATCCAAAACTGACCTCGGCATGCAAAGCACCTTCGAGATCGACTCGTATGCGTGATATTATTTAGCACCAAGCTTATCTACCATACTCTAAGAGCATCTATAAATAAAAATCTTATAAAATCTCCATACAGACCTCCATACTTAGACCGAGGCGACTATAATAGAACGTCGTATGCGAAACCACTAACATCTGACCATAGGTATATTAGATTAGTAGGTAACTATTGTTCCATTTGGAAAGCCTTATCCAACGGTATTCAGGGCCGTCTTAGACTACGTTGGAGGCCTTACCCTTGCGGAATGTTTTTTTTACACAAACCAAAAAAAATTTGTTGTGCACACACAGACTCGCTCCGTGCGGGATTCGAACCAGCTACAAGCCACGCGGCAGCCAGAAATTGTCGGTCCTTCGAGGCCCTTGGATACGTGTCCCCTTATGGTAGAGTGGTTACCTATATCATATGTTAATGTTGAGGCGTGGGCCCAGACTATGGAGTCTGGTTGGTTCGCACTGTCCTTTTCTTTCCCCAACTGACAACACATAACGGAAAAAGCATATATACGGTCGAATTGAGAACCTCCTCCTTTTTTTGAAGTCGGTTAAAAATAATTAGATGACTAAGTACCTACTTACGTCTAATTTCAAACCTAACAAAACGACATAAATGTTAATGTTGTTTCAGGGTAAATATTGTCCAATTGCCTTTACCAAGGCCAAACATGGTGTCATTGCTACAAATTCTCGAAGAGTTTCCTCGGCTGTCTCTTGACTTCATCATCAGATCAACTCCATACCTTCATCAAATTGTAGTAGTTTCAAATACCGTATCAAAAAATTTGTAAACGCTTCCGCCACCCATACAATTCTGAAAAGTTTCCCTCGGTTTCCATGGGATCCTATCATCAGATCCTGACCTGGTGGAAATGGGACCACCCCGAGAGTATGACCTTTCCAACAAAAAAAGAATTAATTAAAAAGAAGTTTTCACGTGACTTTAGGTCGGGTCAGACTGCTTATTTGTTAGCAGCTTATAACTGTTTAAGCACCTTTGTAAGAACTCGCTCATATTATACCTAAACATGATACGACAGCGACATAGCATCTTGCTTTTTTATGAGAGGGGAAAATCATCCAATGATTTCTGCCGCTTTGGGTTAGGCGAGAGGGAGTGTCAGACTTACTGAATAAAAACCACCCCTTTCACTGGGACCACACGGCATCGTTTCATGGCCTACTTCGATGAGCGAGCGAAAAGTTAAAGTTGCATTAAATGCTATGGCTAATGGCTGCATTAATGAAGCCTGCGATTTGCGACGATTTAATAATTAATTAATTATTATTATTGAAAATGTGCCGATCAGTGTACTTAAGTATAAAATAGTGTCGGTGCGAATAAAAAGGACGGACTTACAAAAAAGACCATTTATTTTGTACTTTTAATACAAACTTTTCACAAATTGTAGTCCTAATATTCCAGTGCCGTTACTGTGCTGCGATTCAGTCTGGCAGTACTTGGGTCTTACTCCTGAATCCAATTCCGATCGACATTGGTATTGTGAAATTTCCTACTCTTGAGATGCAACACTAGCGCCCATTGCATCCGTACCGCGTGGATATTGAATGAACTAAATAGTATCGAGCTTGGCTTTATTCTATACTCCGAATGCTATTACATAACAACTTCGATAGGGGTTGTGTATATGTAGTTTTGACATAAATAATTATTGAGATTTTATTGGATTGAAATTGCATTGACATTGGTTTCAAGAGTAAGCACCCATAGCAGTGTACAAACGTGTTGACGAAACGTAGGTATATAGTATATAGGTAGGTATAATTTTTATGAAAAGAAACGTACCTATGTGAGAACTGAGGGAACAAACTTTGAACTCTTACACAATTTAGTAGGGTAATAATTTAATCTGAAATCCCTTTAATTTACGACATTATAAAGGCGACCACTCGTCGGTCCTCCTGTATCAGACAGGACAATATTATGCAATTACGGGTGTGTCAAAGGTGATAAATAAAAACCAAATTTAATCCTAATTAATTTATTTCCGACAAAACCTACTTAAATCCAGTGCTAGACGTCTTCATCTTCGATGATCTTGCATCAATCTTCCAAGTTATCAAGTGGTACAGTCGAGCATTCCATCAATATAGCAACGAGTGATCCTAGTGCTAAATAAAAAAAATATATAAGCCGTATCATGTACTTAGATCGCTCGTTAACCGGAGAGGCAGGGAGGGCGTTCCATTTTACCGATAAACCTAGCCGCATGCGAATCTGCAAATCAGCACAGGATACTGCCACAGCAAACAGACCAGCGTGCAGCACCGGCCTGCCAAACAAACGAGTATATTAGTTCGCAGTCTGCTGGTCTGCCGGCCGCCACCTACGTCACGCGTTTATTCCCTGGTTTTGTGACGCAATGACTTTGAAGTCCCCTAGTGAATGTTTTCTGCTAAGTTTGTATCAGTCGATAAGTATTTGGAGACAGCGTTAAGGATTTATGAATTGATTTTACGTTTATATAAGGGCGCGATGTACCTCCCTATGTGCCGAGTGTAAAAAATACTCCCAATCTACGTGTTAAGAAGTCGTATGTTTACCTACTTTATGAGAGTCTCGGTTTGTCAATAAATATAAAAGTTTACTCATAACTTATGTACGGCAACAACAGCAATTCAGCAGTTGTCAGCAAACAGCAAACCCACCCTCCCCGCATACAGCCTCGCTCCCCGCGTACTCCACGCCCTGAGCATACCAACATTTCGATTAATATTATAGAATCAGTTATACAGTTACAATATTTGCAAAAATGCTGTACTTAGAGTAAAAGTCGTAAGTAATAGGCCGCATGCTCTACGGTTGATTATAAACATGTATCTAAAAAGCCATTGCAACCTTTCAGTCACTAATGGAAGTCTTTATGTAGAAACTGGATTCAAAACATTTTTGTAAAACTTGAAAACACTCAGATAATGACTGAAAATAGTGATCAAAAGGTTCAGGTTGATAAGCAAAGGCCTACTACTTATGATAATAGTGGTTATTGACAATGTTAAAGATAGTACATATAGTATAGATACTAAAGACTCCAGGCATCACCTTCTTACAAGTTATTTACCAAGAATCATGAATGATGATGTCCCACATTAATGCCCAATTTAGCCCAATAATCACTTGTGGTGGGTACAATGATCTTCCAGATATTTTGTTATATTAACCTGAAATAATATCTTAGACCACATTGGCCATAAACCTAGTACTGATTAATAAAAATACAATACTATCATATTACAATATGAAGACTCAAATACAAGTGACTGAATAATTTTACAATTAATTACACATCCCTTAACATAATAATAGGTAAAAAAGATACAACAAAAGTATTTCGACATAAATAAGAAATAAACTTAATTCAGTTTATTGTATTTAGTAGTTCATATTCAAAGGTATGCTTTAGAATTGAATGGAAATCTATACAAACAAAAAGTAAAAGTGTGAAAATATCTAAAGATACAATTCTTACATTATGCAGTTAGCCTATGTTAAGGTAAGGGAACTTAAAATATAATTTGTTACGTTGCATGTTTTGCCACTATGTTGATCATAGTTAGGTCTGTGGATGGCTTATGAGTAACTGATGAGTTTTAGTACCTTGGCTGAAGTCTGCTCAAAGACATGTGGCACAGCACTTCAGCTCACAGCTGGTACTCTCAACCTGTAACAACAACCAGTGTAAATTAGACACTTCATTTTAGGAGTTCATCAAATGCATGCTAAGTAATGTCAAAAGTACAATACCAATTCACAAAATGTTAAGTAATGGTACTTTGATGAGTACATACTAATATACACATGTTCTACATACACACAATCATGTAATACATATTAAGTACAGATATACACACATATGTGATTATAAACAGTATATAAACTGAAAAGTTTGATTGAACACAGTGTGTCACAAGATTAGTTGCACGGTAATCAAGATAAAATAATAAATTCATTAAGCTGATAAGCAGTATTGAACCGTCAAGGTTTCAATAAATGATATCAATATCATATTTTAATAATTTACACATAGTGTTAGCCTAGTTAAACAAAATTTTAAAGTTTGGGAGAATTATTTTTATAAAGTTTTATTTCATACTTACTCAGCATTTCAATGCCTAGAGCGTGATCGTGAGCGGGAGCGGCTGCGGGAGCGTCCACGAGAGCTCTTAGAGTCAGAACGGCTGCGAGAGCGAGAGCGGCTGCGACTGTACGAGCGTGACCGCCTTCGGGAACGGGAACGAGACCTGGATCGACGACGTGAACGAGACCGTGAACGCGAGTTGCTAAAAGAATAACCATCACACAAAGATATGAATACATTCTCTAATCAAGCCAGTGACGCAAGCGCCCCTCCTGGTGTGATAAATGCACCCGCAGACATTGGAGTTACACAATTGCAACATGTACCACCTCAGTCAATGCGAGCTAAACAATCAAAATTAGTGAGAAAAATAAGTGTTTATACTAGCTGACCAATGTATAAGTAAAAAGAATTAATAAGAAATAAAAAAGTATTATGGATTTACAAACACAAGTTCCTTACAAATTATACTTCCTTCATGCTAGACATATACAATTCATAATATGCAATAAAGGAATAAATCATGCTTTTAATTCAAATAAAAATAGTAAAAAATATTGTTTTCAAACAGCAATTTCATTATATACATGTAAATCTTTATTTTAATTCTTAAGAAACCTTATATCAATTACTTCAAGATTTCAAATCACATGCTATCTGTCCTATATTTCAAATTGGCATACTGCAGGCTTTAGAGCAAATTCAAAGTGTAATTAAGAAAGAAGGGCTTTATTACTAGCTCTATTTAGTTAATTTGCATATTACAACAACTAAAGTACCTAATTATTATTTTCAAGTGCAAACCATTAAAAACAGATAATGCTAATCTTCTAAATTTATTATAGGTTGCTGGCAAATTGTGTCCAACATGTGGTATTTTATGAATATGAATTGGAATTTCTTTTAGCATTATTTAAGAAAATGTAAGTTGTGGTAATTTTGGGAAACACAATCTTAATATTGTAAATAATGTACTAGGCTATTGTTTTTTCTATTTTGAACCAGTAGAAATTTAATTAACAAGAGATTCAGCTATTTCTTAATATTTTCTTAAAATAGCTCGAGGTCTGGAATATTCTTTCTCACAATTCAAGTGTGTTTATAGTGTAACTTGAACATATTGGAATTTTACATGTTTCGAGAATGTTACGTGAGGAATGTGTAGTATTGATATGTAATACAGGGAAAACAACTAGACTAAGAGATAAAATGCACACCTAGATATGAAACAAATATAGCAATAAGGAAGTTCTATGGTCAGCTAGCAAGGAAGATAAAGTGTTAACTATTATACGCTACCTGCGACGACGGTCGTAGCGGCTCCGGTATGGAGAAGAGGGACGTCCATAGCGAGCCATTTGAACACGGAGCTCCCTGCCATCAAGCATTCGTCCATCAAGCGAGTCCAAAGCTTCTTCAGCATCACGACGATCGTAGAATCTATAAGATAATGAGTAATATTGGAAACTATAAAACCCATACATAATAACATTTCCATGGTCATAAATTAATTTTAAACGATGTTTGGTATGAAGTTTCCACCCATACCATGCTGATGCGACTTGTACAGGGCATGGTATTTTACCGGTAACAGCCTATGACGTCACTAATATGAATATGTACAAATACGTACACAAAGCACCGCTAATTAGTTAGCGGCGCTACACATCGACACAACTATCATTTACACAATATACATGTGTGGGTAATTTCATATCAATAGATATGTATAGAAACATTCGTCTATCACACACATCTTGGTATTTAAAAATCATTTTTGTGTCGGTATACGCAATAATTTAGTAAATAAGTTTAAATAAAAACGAGGGTAAAGATAAAATTACTCATAACAAACTTTGAATAAATCGAAATCAAAAATAATGAACGATCGAGCTATACAATACCCATATAAATATAGTGCTTTCTCATTGTAATTTTATGTTACTGAATGATATAAAATATTTCGATGATCTCATCTACAGCGCGCTTGGCGCAATGGTTATCGCCTCCAATTGTCAAGTAAAGTGCCGCCGGATCGATTCCAGCATTCACATGTTGTTTTAGAATTAATTTATCAAATATTTGAAATTTGAAATTAGAAACAATTAAATCTTTTCTTTTTTTTTCCTTTCCTATTGTTCTAAATCTTATGTTAATTTTAATAGTAAATACTTTAGATTTATTTATACCTATAATATCTTTTATTTATATTTTAGTTCTAGTTATTTATTATTTAGAATAATCTCATTTGCTTCATGCATTTCAACCAACTTAAATAAGATAAAAACAGTAAAAAAGTAATTAACTGTGATTTCTTAATGGTTCGATACCTGAGTATATTTGCAATGTTTGTGGCGACCATAGAAATCTCGAGTCATTTTATTTTACACGCTTATGAAGTAACTACCGACTATTTAAAACATGTTTTTCAAATCACCCGACTTACAAAATAATTGCGTTCTTAGTTGTCAATTTATGAGGATTTCATAGTTTATTGCTACACTACTTATATTCGTGTGCAAAGTTATTTTTATTTTTACAAGATGTTCCAACACCTATCAACATTTAAAAAGGCTGAAACCATTGTTTTGCATGAGCAAAACATAACTAACAATAACTGAAATAGCAAGGCGTTTAATGATATCGGTGAGTAAATAAGATACTACGTTGATATTCTAAATAATATTTATTTCATTTTGTAACTCGACACACCTATCAATTTTTGCACTAGAATAAAATAATTATTGCAACTTATTATGAAGTTCAATATTATAAAGATATATTAATAATTTATTATTAATTGTATTGTAACTTGACTTGTTTTTGTTAGGAGTGTTTCTTTAAAACATATCTGGTTAGGGATTTTTATTCCTTACGCCACTACTTAATTATAAATTATTATTCTAACATTGTGTTTACTTATATTTATTATTATTTTTAAGTAACTTTAATTCCTGTAAAGTATTTCCTGGTATTTTAAATACTTATTTGTTTGGTATCAACAGAGGAGATCCATGCAGTTATGGGTGCACAGATATGCGGAGACCGGTGACGTTAAACATCGTCGACGTGGGCCTAAACCAAAGGCAAATTCATCGGCTCGGCACTACGACATCGTAGCCAGGCACATGGCTGATCCGTTCCTGCCAACCCGCACTACAGCGACAGCACTGAATGTTTTAATACAAACTGTACGGAGACACCTGCATTCTGGTTTAAGGTGCAGGAAGCCAGAGAAGAAAATATTGTTATCTGTGGTTCACCAGCAAAAGCGCTAAGAATTTGCTAAGGACTTTATTAATTTTGATTGGGCGAACAGTGTAATCATATTGAGCGACGAAAAGACTTTCAAGTCGGATAAGGATGGGCGTAAAATATTGTGAAGAAAAGATGGAGAAAGGTATACGAATTGCAACCTTCTGCCTTGTAGGATCAGTGATTGTATTGATTTCGGAATCAATTATTGAGCCTGTCAAACTCTGCCTTTATTAAAATTAACATAAAATAATGTTTAATTTTTTTAAGAATAATAAAATGCTGTCTAGAACATACGGTGAAGTGATGTTATTGTTTTGTGGTTAGAAATTGTCATAATTTCTTTCTATTAACATGTTTATTCACTTCACTTTAATTTTTCATTAACAAATTTATTTAACTGCTTTCGAACTTGATTGACATATTATATTTACGCCCATCTTCAATTAATTTAAAGTTTCCCTGATTCTAAAGGTCATGAAAGTTAAAATCGTTCCATAGCATTCGTCACATTCTTTTTACTATCATACAGCCCACTGAATATTGAACCTTATAACAACCGTCGTAAAATAGATAATTAATGGAAGTTCAAACGACAAAAAGTCGCCCATTTCAAGAAATATTATGTTAACAGTGTAATTTTTTACATGTTTTACTTGTTTATTACTTATGTATTATTAAATTACAAAACAAGAATGTTGTATTTGTTTATTACCTACTTAATAAAAAATGTTGCTGCCATCGTATTACCGCTGTACCGCATGATATTTCCCGATTCGACTATGAGGTTTATTGTCATATCTATTAATTATGATTTAAAGAACTTTAAACTTAACATGTGGTATATAATTAATTATTAGATATAAATATTGAATATAAAACAACATATTTGTATAATAAATAAATTAATTGTAATAAAAAATAGTATTGTTTTATTTACCAACTCATTTGCTTCTTTTATAGCCTGATATTTATATTTTATGACAAAAAACAAAAAAAAAAAATAAGAAAAATAACAAGGTAAAATAAAATTAACTTTTAGCTGGAATAGAACCCACATCATTGATCCTTGAAAGACGATAAAAGCGTGCTCATTAACCAATCGACCACGAGCACTACGATAATGACAGTGAAAATGTCGGGTCATATCAATGATTGTAAATAGTTTTAACCTTACCTATGCATTAAATTATAAAAATACGTATACCGACACAAGAATGAAAATACCAATGTGAACGTGGTGGACGAATATTTTTATATACAGTTATATGAAATTACGCACACATGTACACTGTGTAAATGACAGTTGTGTCGATGTGTAGCGCTGCAACTAATTAGCGGTGCTTTGTGTACAAATACATACAGCTTATAATACTACATTTATGGAAAGTAATTACCTGACGAAAGCAAATCCTCTACTTTCTCTGGTGTACCGATCTCTGGGTATGTAGATATCACCGACTTCACCACATCTTTCGAACACACGCCGCAGATCTTCAGGCGTTGTGCGGTACGTGAGATTGTCCACTTTCAACGACACCATGCCGTCGATACGCGGCGGCGGCCTTCCGTAACTCATCTTGATTTAAATTAATAAAAACTTCACCACCTTACACAAATTAAATGTATTTTCACAATCCACCTCAACAAGCAACTAGAATGGCGTCACGAAACTGAATGAACGACCGTAGCGTGCAAGCGCAAAATTAAATATGGCTACCGGAAAACGAAACTTGACGACGAGAAACGAGTGCAAGCGGATGTGGTCAATGTTGCCATTATTAAAAATGTATTATATAACAATTTTTAAAATAAAATCATATAATTTTGTGTCATCGTTCTTTGGGTTAAATTGGTAAATAATTAAGTACCTACTCCAGTAAAATAAAAAGTGCACAAAAAGTACAAAAAATTATTGGTTTGTTGTAAAAACTCAGTCCTTTTACGTAAAGCTAAAATAGCTTCTTTGATTGTATTACTGCGGTTGCTATGGTGTAGATATTAGTATTACGTCAAAAATCTATTGTAGTAAAATATTACTAAAATTATTAATACGTCGTTGTTTTGGATTCTTACAAAACTCCACAGTTAATCAACATCTAAATAAGTATAATGGCTGGTATAAAACAAGTTAGAAATAAAACTCTTGTTCCTGATTTAAGGAAAGAGGGTGAACTTACCAAAGATATTTTGCTCTCAACCCAAAATAAACACGTTGGATCAGCAGGCTCCAGACTTTTTTCGCATCATACACTTGCTAGTGTTAGGCGATTAAGTTTTTATCATCCTTTCTTGTATGTATATTAAAACCTACTCTAATGCTTAATTTATTATGATTGAGTGTAACATATTTATCTGATTTACTTATATTTATTTTAGTTTACCAAAAGATAGTTTGGATTTCGTATTGGCCACAACCTACAATCATTCTACAGAGAGGTTTCCAGATAAAGAGGATTTGTACTTACAACCTGAAACTATTGGCTGTGACACTTGGCGGCGACTGCGGAATACTTTCGATAAACTTCCACCAGTCATAATACCCTTGGTATGGATAAATTTTGGAATTGATTTATTTTAAAATTACATTCTAATTCAATAATTTACATTTCTACCTACTCTAATTACAGGGACACCCAATGAAACGGGGTGGCATTAAAGAACGTCGATCTCCATTTAGTGTTAAGCTCATGAATTCAGGAGTACATTCATCTCAGACTAACCCTGGTTACAGCAGGCAACCGGCGGGTGGTGCCATATTCTTTTATTAGACTTTTCCTATTCTTCAAAATCGCTTGTATTTGTTTTTCGTATTAAAATGTAAAAGAGACGAAAATTGTGAAGTACTTAACGTTACTTAACAACGTGAAAGTTTACAACAAAAATATCACTTGTGGCATTTTGTAATGACTTTGGGTTTCAAAATAGCTGTAACGAGCACTATAATCAGTCAGATGAATAAGGATAGTATTTGTCACGCATAATAAAAACCTAGAATAGTGTCATTAATGGAGCGCATAAATTAATCATAAAGTTCTAATTTATCGCGCGATGCTTAAGTTTAACATCCTAAGCAGTTTTGGTAGCATAAGACCTCTACCCCTACACGAGTAGTTTATTACAAACTAATGCACTGAAAGGAATTTTTCACCATTGGGGTAATTTGGGCATTCCGAACTTATTATGGAGCGTCATTATGGGTCTACATTTTGGATTCCTACAATGACGAAATATAATTCGTGTAGATATAATAAAGGGATATAAAAATATTGCCCATTGTTTCCATATCGGTGACTATTCGTTAATGTTATTAAAACATAAATAGTATAGTTCTTCGTAACAGCATTGCCATTTCAAAATCGATAGTCGTTGGGATTAAGAGTAATAGTAGAATGCTAATGCAAAATTCATTGAAGGGAGTAAAAATAAATGCAGAGCAACATGGTCTGTGGTTAATCATGAAATTGGAAACTTAAAATGTGAAAACGACATTTCTGAACTACAATTAAACGGGAATATCGTGACGAATCCAACTGACATCGCTAATATTTTTAATAATTACTTTATTGACTCGACAAATACCCAAACATATAATAATAATTACTCTTGTACTGCGACAATTCCTAACACTTTGTTTCTCAGTCTCATGACTGAAGATGAAGTCAAACGGGAGATAACATCGCTAAATAATACTAACTCCGAGGGTTATGATGGAATTGGTACAAGGATTATTAAAGCAAGTAGTGCGGAATTAGTGCCTATTCTGACACATCTGATTAATTTATCATTTTCATCGGGAACGTTTCCTGATGTATTGAAATTATCAGTTGTGAAACCACTGTACAAAAAAAACAATAAAAAGGACGCTAAAAATTATCGTCCAGTTACTCTTATACCTATTTTATCAAAAGTATTCGAGAAATGTATGAACAAGAGACTTTTAGAATTTTGTAGTAAATATAACATTATAGCTGGTGAACAGTTTGGTTTTCAAAAGCACAAATCCACGACGCTTGCTATATTTTCTCTTTTGAATAATATTCTGACAGGTCTGAATAATAATCACTTAACGACAGGATTGTTTTTCGATCTGTCGCAGGCTTTTGACTTTGTGGCACATGACGTTTTATTGAAAAAACTGGAAAATCTTGGGTTAAGAGGTCCTGTATTACAGTGGATCTCATCTTATTTAAGTAACCGAAAACAATGCGTTGTCGTAAGTAAAGTACACGAAAATATACTCACTTCTTATTTTTCAGACTATAGAGACAAAAAATGCGGTGTTCCTCAAGGGAGTGTGTTGGGGCCCATATTGTTTTTATTATACATCAATGACATTTCATTGGCTACTAATCACAAATGTATATTGTTTGCAGATGATATTTCTATTATAGTGACATCCGATAAGAAGCATAAATCAATATCTGATCATGAGATAGACATTAATAATACTATTGACAATATATTAGAATGGCTACAGACAAATAAATTAATAATCAATTTAGATAAATCTAATTTTATGCAATTTAATAAATCAAAACATGCTAAATATAATTTTAAACTGAATATTGATAGATTGAAAGAAGTAACACAAACAAAATTTTTGGGTGTACTCATTGACCAAGATTTAAATTGGAAAGTACATCTAGATGGCCTGTGCAATAGGATTAACAAATTTGTGTATGCTCTCAATCAACTAAAGAACGTCACTAATAGAAAAACGGCAATAGTAGCATACCACGCATACATAGAGTCCATTTTACGCTACGGGCTTATTATATGGGGAAACAGTACGGACAAAAACAGAGCATTTATTGTACAAAAGAAATGTATTAGAGCCATATGTGGAATCCGTCCTGACGAGTCCTGCAAACCAGTTTTTAAAAAGCTAGGCTTATTACCACTTCCTTCCTTGTACATTTATGAAATTTGTAGTTTTGTCTTCAATAATAAGGGATTGTTCCTAAAAGCATATGAAGTAATCTCCCAACCCAGAAAGGATCCACACAGGCTTGTATTAAGCAATACTCCTAAATCTGGGAAATATGCTAAAAGCTGTCTTGTGATGTGTGTGCGCATATACAACAAAATTCCGGAAGAACTAAAATTATTAAATAATATTAATATTTTCAGAAATAAACTGTATAAATGGTTAAATGAACATAATTTTTATAATATAAATGACTTTTTTGATTTAAAAAATGTTTAAATGTGTTTTGGTTCAATTGTTTTTTTATTTTATTGTAATGATTATTGGCGTAATGACAATTGTATTAACAAATATTTTGCATGCAATCTATAGACATTATCTATACAGCTAAACATGTGTACTTTAAAAACAAATTGTAACACCACTGTAAACCATGTTTAAGGCAAATAAAGACTTATCTTATCTTCTTATCTTATCTTATCTTATCTTAATTATCTGTGGTCCTGATCTTCGGCGCGAGGCAATTTGAAAAATGGAGCAAAAAAAAGATTTAATGTTTTACTTTTAGATTTTAGAGTGTTGTTGTTAGTGAGCAAAGTAATATTGTTAGTGAGTTATTACTTAATAATTAATCCATGTACGTAATTAAAATAAGTATCGTGTCTTTATTGGACTACTCGTAAATATTAAATAGGTATTTATCGTTTCTTTTCTACTAATTATTGTGATTATATTATTAGATCTTGCTGTTTTTTATAAATGCAAATAAGGGCCATTATTTTGCACGAGCACGCATTTTCATTTAGTTTATTTAGGTCTACAATGTGGATTTGTGTTTGTCTTCGTTTTTTTGTTTGTAAAAACTCGTGTGGTCTATTACTAAATACATTTTGCTGTTGTTTTACTGTCTCGTGTTTTTATCATTAACTTTATAAAATACTTATATACCAATCATAACTTAAATATTATAGTAATAATAATATAGTTATAAAGACCTGTCTGCTTAGGTAAGTACCTACTTTGTTCTTTCATTACCATGATAATAAACTTAAATGTTGAATCTTCATTAATAATGGGAAAAAACACAATCCTCGAATTAAGTCCCACCACGACAAATTCTCGCTATGGGTCGTGCCGAGTATAGATAAGTGGACGTGTTATGCAACACAGAATCAACCCACACAATAGGCCACGTTCACACGGTGATTATTTTCCCGTATATCGTATACGAGATTTTATTGAATAGAGACAACAGAATATATATGAAAACTCAAAAATTGTTTACACGGCGTTCATACGGGAAAATCCCGTGTTCGAGAAATATATTTTAAAAATATATTATAAATATATCCCGTGCGAAGTTGTCACATTCAGAAACGCCGCGTCTCGAAACGATTTTATCGAATCCAACACGCAGTGGCGCTTATGTTCATGTTATCTCGTTCACACGACTCGCCCATTCGAGAATCGTACGCACTCGCTCGCGTGGCTTAGGAATTTTTTTTCAAATCTACTTTCTCGATGAGGACCAGTCTTTAGAAAAGGATGAACCCAATACCACCTATGACGCTGCTTGCATCTCCGTCTATGAAACCAATATAAAAGTAGTGGAACACGTGGATCCATGACGGCGTGCACTATACAACTGG